GCAAAAATATACCTTTTTATCGCGGCGGGCCACTTGTGTGTGTTCTGTGAATAACGCGCCTCGAGAGAACCCGCAAACTGCGGTGACCTTCGCGCACGGCTTTAACACTATTCATGCCCACCGGCGCTAATTCGGCGAATTTCTTCGGCTCGATACTTTTTTTTTTCTTTATTTCGCTCTCATTAAGATGCAACGAACTGTTTTATAAGCTCGACTCGCGAACGAGTATTTTACGTGGGCTCTCTCGCAACTTTCTCTTCGCGAATAAACTCGTATATGCACGCGAAAGAAAGAGAGAGAAAGAGAGAATGAAATAACGAGTTTCGAAACCTTTCTCGGCGCTGCAGCACGAGCCGCCGCCGCTGTTGCCTTTTATTTTTTCGTCAATCGGTTACTCTCGCTGCTCGCGTAGGTTACGTGCACACACTCGGTACATACGAGCACACGCGGTGGCGGGGCTCGCACGAAAAACCAGTCGAAATTCCAAGGTCTGTGCGCGCCTCGCGGCAAATTCGTCTGGCTCTCTTTGTCGTCGTCGTCGTCGTAGTTGTTCGCTGTCGTCATCGTCGTCGCGACCCGCATTTTGTTTCATGACCGCGACAGAGAGAGAGCCTGATAAAAACGAGTAATGAGCACCATTGTGTCACGTGTCACTCCCCGTTCTTTCTCGCGCGACGTAAATTTGCCACATATCGCGATGCGCAGAATAACGCGCCTCGCGACGCTCAACATACGAAAGGTGAATGAATGAATTTTTTTTGCCTTGCCTACCATCTGTCTACTTTCCACACTCCGACACTCGGTGTGTTATGTAAAACACTTAATTGCCTTTTTACAGCCTTCCTCGTGCACACATAAGTAAGATGTTTAATAGTTACGAGCTCTCACTCGCTCATAGATCAGCGGTGGCGGTGGACGTGCGGCAAGAGCAGGAGGACGACTGGCGTTCGTTTTTTTGGTGATCGAAGATTTTTGGCTCGGACATTTTCTTTGGTTATCTAGCTGTATGAGTTTATTTGTACTTCATAAAGCTAGGTTACCGGAGTTAAGATCCTCGCCGTTTCAGCGCAAATAATAAATAACAAAACGGAAAAACATAATCATCGTTAGCAGCAATTCGGAGCAGTAAGTTTTACGCTTCGTCGATCAAGATTTCATCGATTTAATTGGGACCATCGGCCGTGCATCGCTCGCATAGCACTTTCATCGTAATGATTTCCAATAAACAATGTAATTTATAATAGTACATAAGGTAAAAATGACTAATTGTGCGCGTCCTCTCTCTCTCTCTATATTTCTCAGTGCGCGATGAAAATGCGGCAACTATATCAAGTGCGTGAAAAGTTTCTCTTTTCGAACGATACATGTAATGGTTATTACGACGCAACAATAATGGTATTCAACGATGGTTACGAGACGAACGTGTAAACATTTCTCGACGAAACGAGAGGAATATACATATATCGTGCTTACTCTCGTTGGCAACGCGCGCGACAACTGCCTCGAACTCGATGTGGTCGAGTGAGGAAACGACTTGTTGCTTCGGAATTCGCCTACAAGTGGATTCGCTCGTCGGCATAATGTAACGCGTTCATTCTGGTTCGAGTATATTTTTTTTCAGTTCATTTATCAACACGAAATTGATCTCTTGAATATGATTGTGATTTAAAAATAAATATAAATGTATGATAAGTTTCAAATTGTACGTAATATTATCTTACTATCGTTGAATCAAAGGCAAATGTAGACATACTTATACAATCCCAAAAAGTTGACTGAAAATAAAGTTAGAATCCCTACTTATGCAATATTTCATTTTTTTTTTTTTTTGTTGCTATGCGTCGATGGCGCGAGGAACGGAGAAATTTTCAGGCATAGAGATCAAGGACGATACGCTCGACGAAGGAGAGAGACACGTGTATATGTGCGCCTTGTAAGTATATGTATAGGATATACACGCATACACACACACCCAGACATATTCTAAAGAGGGAGAAAATGAGAGAAAGAGATGGATACGAATAAGAGACGAACCGGCGAAGCAGTAAAGCAAATTCCCACACGTTTCGTACGTTACACACACACACACACACAGGCCTCGCAAACCGAACTTCACATATGTATAAAGCTGCTAAACTAGCGAATGTATAGCGACGTAATACGTATTCGTGTATACGTGTGGGTCTATGTACTCAATATATCATTACAATGTATGTAAACTCGAGCGCACATTTTTTTCCGGGCCTACTTGGTGCTGCCGAGTACGAGAGGAGCGCGAGACAAAATATATCATAAGCTTAATAAAGTAATCATGCCGGTTCAATGAAATTAGACAGATATAATATGCGTAATACATTTTCGGAGTCAATGTGTAAGGGTAGAATAATATACTATGTACAAGTTTTACACATATCGTGCATAAGCATACCGTAATCGCGCGAGGCGAATAAATTTTTATAATAATATCGTCACGGGAAAATCCTCGCGTTATAGTTTCTACTTGGAAAAAAAAAACAGTATTTCCGGTATATCAGCGCACAGCCTGGAATTTCGTCTATTGTTCTATACGCGCGCCCGAGCACACGGGCGGCTCTTATGGTTCGTGCACGCGTCCGAACGCACAGCACACGCACGCACACACGCGTCTCGGCAAACATATACATATATAGCATCGAGCGAGGAAATGCGCGCCATGTGCACGCGGTCGCGCGATATGGGAGACCGCACACCCGCGGATGATGATACCGTACTACTCTGCTGCTACATTACATGCGGGAAGTGACTTTTTTGCCTTGGAGAAATTAAATTTCTAGCCCCCTTTTATTTTTAGTTTGTTATCAATTTGAGATATAAATTGAAAATGGCAACGAACTACAAAAGGGAAATGAAACGAATTGACTCGGTTGCGATTTTCGGGTATTAGGCGCGCGCGCGCTCTACAGTCTGCGTGCGTGTCACATTTGCCGGCTGCGAATCTCGCTGCTCGCACGATTATTATACGCGAGCTTAAAAATATCGAATGTCGCAGATGGCGCCACGTCTTTAGACTGCTGATACGAGTGCTTGGCTTCTGCTGACATCTGAGAGATAGCAATGTTGGCGACATTCCGCCCGTTTCCGCAGGTGCTTCAAATGTAGCAATGTATCTATCTATGTGTATGCACGTTTGCGATGTTTGGATCATGTACAACGTTCTCGACTCATATGTTCATCCTGTAATGTAGCACGTGTTGACGCAAATACTCGGTTATTATTGTCACAACAGTAGAGCGAGTTTTTCCAATTTAGCTTTGATATTTCCCATTGGAATTTTGGCTAAACACATGCGAAACGGTGTTCTCGGTGTATATATGTGTATTTATCGGGATCGAGCGACTTATTTATTTATTTTTTTTTTTTAATTACCCATTTTACATACAGCAAACCACAAAAAACGATAACAAGGCTCGATTGTTGCCTCAATGATGTTGACAATCGTGGCGATGAATGTTTTTAATCGATCAAGCAATATTGCCCGAATGATTCGTAATGCCTCGTCATCGATTTTATCCGTATCACTCGTGCTACGAGTTAGTTTATTACGAAGAGTGTGATCCCCGGCTCGCTCTTCCAAGTATACAGCGAAAAGTCCGAAATTACTCGCATGGTTAAAAAATTTGCCTACTGATCAATACACGAAAGCACGCCGCCGCTCTGTTCCAGTACATTCGACCATTACACGAGTACCCGAAAATATCGTACCTAATATCGATCGCCGATGATCGTGAAAGCTCTAGAAAACGTAATTCTATATTTGTATTTTTCGAGCGAGCCAAGAGTATCGTTGGTTGTAACGGACATCAGCTGCGAGCCCGATGAGTCCATGTTTATCCTCGATATTTATTATCTTCGAGCACGTTGCTCCGCGAATGTATGCGGGTAAACCGCGTCGATATCGCCGAGCGCCAATGTACCAACCGCGTCGAGATTTCTAGTACCTACGTACACGCTGCATGCTCTCCTCTTTGCGCGTTGCCATGATGCCTCCTCATATACGTGTTTCTCGATGATGACATTTTTTACGTGACGAAACGAAATGCTACTACGGCGATTTTAACAGGAAGATGACGCCAAGGAGGCAATCTTCATGAATGCTCTAGATCATGAATTTAATCGATGTACCCATTGCACACCGACTCACGATGATTTCTCGAAAGCTCCCCGTTCCTAGATGACTCGGGCAGGCGGCGGATATTCGAGAATTTTCTAAAACCTCGGCGATTCGTTTTGACATTTGAACATTCGAGACCTTTTTTGTCATCCGTTGGCCTAGAGATTAATCATTGAACATCTCGGACCAAGCCGCCAAAAAAACTATGAAAAACATTACAAAAGTCTTTACTGAGTAACATTTTCACTGAGACGTTGTTGCCTTATACCAATGAGTCTTTGTTTACGATCATCGTACAAATCATGAATACAGTCGTCTCGAACGATAATCGAGAAAATTAATTTCTCACGTTGAATTTTTCATTCAACATTTATGGAAAAACGCAGCATCAAAATTGTGTCAACGACACCTCGCATAAAAACGCATCGTGCTAAAATCACCGGCTCGATCGTGGGTTGTCTATTACCCCCTTGCAAGATGACACATGCATAGGTACACGCACGCACGAGTCTCGTAGCTACTACGCGAATCAAGCTACGCGAATGGCGCTCAAAAATTTTCAAATGAAATTTCTCGAACGTCGCAGCTCTCGGCTCCTTGGCTCGGGCCAATCTGCCAGGCAAAACGTCGAATAATCGTTGAAAAATTTTACTCTAATAATTACAACGAGGTTTTTGAATTATCCACGATTCAAAGTACGAGATCAAGCGAAGGCTGCTGGCGGAAGTTCGACGATATACACCCATGAATCTAGCTGTAACTTCGCGAAGCTTCCAGAACGTTCGAGAGAATTCGCAAGAGCCGGCCTCTGCCGTAGAGGGGGTATATAAAGCCCTACCGCCGGCCGAGCGAGCTTCAGAATACAGCAGTACGTTGAACGTAAAGCATCTGTGCAGGCGTGATCTATTTCACGGCGACTTTTTACCACAACTCTCTACCCAATCTACATCTTACGTGCAGTAGTTTTGTCTTTAATTCACCAGCGTATTAATCTACAGACATTTTTAAAGTAAGTCCACTTTAATTAAATAAATAATTTGTTTAATATCACTATTCGGACGGGTTAAACGTTTCGATAGCAACCATCGGCAATTGATTTCACGAGTCTCGCACTAGGCGCGGCAGCCATTCAGACACGTTTCTCTGAGCATCCATCTAATATCGGCTTCTCTTTTTAAAGTAATTTGAACTCTGCTAGTACACTTTATTAATTATTTATTTCAAGTGTAAATGATCAGTGCATTATTTATTCGATAATTGAGTTTTTCGATAATTACGTGATGTGTTGAATACGGGTACCGGAACGCAGTAAATGGCGCGAAGCTCAACGATTTTTCTCGAAGGCGCGCAACGAATTTTCTAGAGTCATTGGACAAACGGTTCATAAATTACAATTTCGTCAATTTTTTATTTAGCGGTTGAGTGAAATTTAACTTGATTTGTTTTATTTTGTGCAATATTTGAATTTTTTTTTTAAATTTTCGAGGTTACATTTTTTTTCCTTTGATCGTGTGTCATCCTTTGTCCGTAACGACAATTTTTAAATCGTCTGTGAACGTTAATCAACATTTTTGACACTGGAATCGCGTAATCATATGCAATTGCAAACTAGTTCATGTTTTAATTTACTGTGACCTTTTTTATAGATGGCTGATGTCAAGGAAGTAAAGACCGAATCAATGGAAACTGCCGAAGAGGTTGAGACCTTCGCTTTCCAGGCTGAGATCGCCCAGTTGATGTCCCTCATCATCAACACTTTCTACTCCAACAAAGAGATTTTCCTCAGAGAATTGATCTCCAACTCGAGCGATGCCCTGGACAAAATTCGATATGAATCTCTTACTGACCCAACCAAGCTTGAATCTGGCAAGGACCTATATGTCAAAATCATCCCCAACAAGAATGACCGCACTCTCACCATCATTGACACTGGTATTGGTATGACCAAAGCCGACCTGGTAAACAACCTTGGTACTATTGCCAAGTCTGGTACCAAAGCTTTCATGGAAGCCCTTCAAGCTGGAGCTGACATCTCTATGATTGGTCAATTTGGTGTTGGTTTCTACTCAGCTTACTTGGTCGCAGACAAAGTTGTCGTAGTTTCAAAGAACAACGATGATGAACAGTACGTTTGGGAATCCAGCGCTGGTGGTTCCTTCACTGTTCGCACTGACACTGGCGAACCAATTGGTCGTGGTACCAAGATCATCCTCCACATCAAGGAAGATCAAGCTGAGTTCTTAGAAGAGAGCAAGATCAAAGAGATTGTCAAGAAACACTCTCAATTCATTGGTTATCCGATCAAGCTTGTTGTACAGAAAGAGCGTGAAAAGGAATTAAGCGAGGATGAGGAAGAAGAAGAAGAAAAGAAAGAGGAGGAGGATGAATCCAAACCTAAAATTGAGGATGTAGGTGAGGATGAAGAAGAAGATGCTGACAAAGACAAGGACAAGAAAAAGAAGAAGAAGACTATCAAAGAAAAGTATGAAGAAGATGAAGAACTCAACAAGACCAAGCCTATCTGGACCAGAAATCCTGATGACATCTCTCAGGAAGAGTATGGTGAATTCTACAAGTCCCTTACCAACGACTGGGAAGATCATTTAGCTGTCAAACACTTCTCTGTGGAAGGACAGTTGGAATTCAGAGCTCTGCTCTTTGTTCCAAGACGTATGCCATTCGATCTCTTTGAAAACAAAAAGAAGAAGAACAACATCAAATTGTACGTCCGCAGAGTCTTCATCATGGACAACTGTGAAGATCTGATTCCAGAATACTTGAACTTCATGAAGGGAGTTGTCGACAGCGAAGATCTTCCATTGAACATTTCTCGTGAGATGTTACAACAAAACAAGATCCTCAAAGTCATCAGGAAGAACTTGGTCAAGAAATGCTTGGAACTTTTCGAGGAATTGGCTGAGGACCCAGAGAACTACAAGAAGTTCTACGAACAGTTCAGCAAGAACTGCAAACTTGGAATCCACGAAGACAGCAGCAACCGCGCAAAATTGGCAGACTTGCTCCGTTACAACACATCAGCCTCTGGTGACGAGGTTTGCTCTCTCAAGGACTATGTTGGTAGAATGAAGGAGAACCAGAAACACATTTACTTCATCACTGGTGAAAGCAAAGAACAAGTTGCCAACAGCTCCTTCGTTGAACGTGTCAAGAAGCGTGGATTCGAAGTCATCTACATGACTGAGCCAATCGATGAGTACGTCGTCCAACAGATGAAAGAATATGATGGCAAGCAGCTGGTTTCTGTCACCAAGGAAGGTTTGGAGTTGCCTTTGGATGAGGAGGAGAAGAAGAAGCAGGAGGAAGACAAAGTCAAGTTCGAAGAACTTTGCAAAGTCATGAAGACCATTTTGGACAACAAAGTTGAGAAAGTTGTTGTATCAAACCGATTGGTTGACTCACCCTGCTGCATCGTCACCTCTCAATATGGCTGGACCGCTAACATGGAGAGAATCATGAAGGCTCAGGCTCTTCGTGACACATCGACCATGGGATACATGGCAGCCAAGAAACACCTGGAAATCAACCCAGACCATCCAGTCATCGACAACCTCCGACAGAAAGCTGAGGCTGACAAGAACGACAAAGCTGTCAAGGACTTGGTTGTACTTCTGTTCGAGACTGCTCTTCTGTCATCTGGCTTCACTCTTGATGAGCCCCAGGTTCATGCTTCCCGCATCTACAGAATGATCAAGCTGGGTCTTGGCATCGACGACGAGGAGCCCGTGGTTGAGGAAAGCAAACCTGAAGAAGCCGCACCCGTTGAGTGCAGCGAGAACGACGCTTCACGCATGGAAGAAGTTGACTAAATTTTAGTAGCTTAAATTTTTAAACTTTAGCTTAACTATTTATTACACGTTTTTAATTTTGAATTAATACGAAGACCTACATTATAAGTAACGGAAAACGACCGCGTTTTAAGTGGTGTATTACTAAGTATTTACGTCATGACGGAAAATTACGCGTATTCTACTGTCTTTTATTAGTTTGATATTTTATTAATGTGTTTAAAATCTTCATTCCTTACTTTTGCCAAGTAAGATACAAATCACCAAATATTCATTCTTTTGACCATTAAATAAAAGAGTTTTTCATCATAAAACAGTTGTATTAATTTAAGAACCTCTCCCAATACTTGAAACCTACATACATGCATTTTAATTAAAAATATATTGATAATTGATACTCAGACTTGATAAAAAACCAAATTTAAAGGAATTGAATCTTTAGTAATTGAATCATGAGCTTTTTTTGAACTCCAATAAACTATTAAATCTAACTTGGAATTTAAATCTTTGAAAATGAACTTCAAATTACCAAATTTTTAACATAATTAGAAACTTTAATTTTATCAAGATTAAAAATTTGTTTATACCAGTAATTGACATAAATAATTTATATTGTACTTGGCTTTTCACTCTACACTTGTAGATTCATACATATAAAGTCAGCCCTTAGCTCTTGAGCAGTAGTAACATTGCAATCAATTTGAAATTCTCGAGCCAGCACATGCGCAAAGAAGTTCTCGAGCGTTCGTTGGCTGCTATGTCTTCTGCTAGACGTATATGATTGTACTGTGTACATAAATGGGTCACGCGCAACCATCATTATCGTATCGAAATTAATCCAGTACTCTTTGATCGTCGTTAAAAAAGTATCGTTCGTTGCTAAAAACACCGTTGATCAGCAACAACAGCAATAACTACCCAACAATGGCTAGCAATGGATGGAAAGTAAGTAACTGCTCTGTCTCCGAATGCCCTAGTAGCAAGTTAAACAATAATGAACCTTTCACGCTATCATGTTGACAGGTAGTACAAGCACACGTGCCTCTCATAAGGTTTCGCAAAGGTGGAAACGCTCGAGGTAATAAAACGCATGCATAATTTGTTATCAATCGTTGCAAGACGATTTCGTCGAACATTTTTTAATGTTTATTGGTTAAATTGCAGTTGTAGGGGCTGCTGCTAAGGTGGCTTCCTCTGCTGGTGGCTCGCAGCATTCAGCGCCGTCAGCGACGACGAGCAAGCCCGCCGGTGCCACTGGACCCAACGTCCTTGTGTTGCCGGTCATCGAAGACTTTCAGCTGCCTCCCCGTTTTCAAAGGCGTCAAATTGACATCAAAGAAATGGATTACATCAACGTTAGTATACAAGCTCCAGTGACGTGCATCGCTATTTCTTTTCACTTTCTTACATAACTATTCTGACCAAAGAGTGTTTTATTTACATTATCTATAAATAAGTTTACATAGCTTTTTATAACATGTATTGAATACTTGAAATATTTTTATAGCGTGGAGGCCCTGAATGAGTATCATACGTCATGCCAAAACAGCTACCCCTACTGCCCACAGCTTACAAGTTTATAGATTATTTCTGCGATGACCTGGTCACCATCTACTCAGGAACTTTGTCACCGTAGGTGATGGTTCAAAATGTCAAGTTATATGTTTTATGCATCATTTCATCAAAATCATTATAAATTTTTAACATAACTCGTTACTTAAATTACACTACAAATTATTGTTAGAAAATATTTTGAAAAATAGGAGTAAGTGTGAGATGAGCTTGCGAATCAAGTTACTGTAAAATATTTCTAAAAGTAAGGAAAATAAAGACAGTTGAATTTTGAAAAGTTGAACACAATGCTGCAAGAAATTGTGAATTGTTCCTTGACCTTGGTAGCAATATGCAAAAAAGCAACGACTCGCGCGACTAGCCGAAGGCCTATGTCCGGCCTGGGATTCGCTCACTCGCGCAAAAATAACTCGCCGTCTTGGTCGACGCAACTCTACAAGCTCGCACACAAGCATAATAGGTAAACGCATATAGAGGGGCCAATCACCGGTGCTTTGGCATACATAAAACGGACGGCCCTGAACGTAGCAGATGACAACTTTCCAGAAATACACTGCGCGCGACCCTTACTTACTACACGCATTCGGCCGCGCATGTGTGTGTGCGTGTCTCGCGCGAGCTTGCAAGCACGCGCGCGCAGGCCTGGCCCGAGAGTCTGCATATAGTCTGCGGAACGGTATACAAGCAAGACTTTACGGACTGACTCGCGCGACTGCTGTCATCGCATATGTGCGCAGCATCTCGTCTGCTGCTGCTGCTGCTACTTCTGCTATACTACTTTATGGAGAGAAGCATCAGTCGCTGTCGGATATCTCGATGGGGCGGTACCCCCTAAACTCATTCGGACGATCGCCATGAAGTAACGAACAATAAGATTAAAAAACGTACAAAAAAAAACTCGATAAAAAAAAAGCTAAAAAGTAACAAAAAAACGAACGACTCTCTACGAGATACACAATCGAAACAAGTAGTAGTATTACAAAAAAAAGTGACGTTTTGGTGAATCGCAATAAAATGAAGAGCACAACGAAAGCAGCAGCGATGAGCAGCAGCAGTAGCACAGCTACCACGGAGTCTGGCGGGATGGAGTTCGGGCCGAGAAAGACGATCGTCATACTGGCCATCGTCGTGGGCTGCTTCGCCATTCTCTGGCCCAAGATCTTCTATCCGATGCTGACGGCCTCGCTGTATCCTCCACCGCCCATCGAAACGTCAGGTGAGTCTGTCGCTCGTATAGCTATACAAGCTCTGTATGCTCGCATAGCTATATAGCTATACAAATACGCATACACGAGCTTGGCGCGTTTGTTTACATTATTTATCCGCGCTGCATCCGTCGCGTTATGACCACGACGACGGAAATTACCTCGTTCGCTCGAAATTCAATCGATGACGATCGTGCAAAAAGGTTGCTGCGATGTAATATTCGAGAGCGACGTCACGGCCCGAGACATAATGCAGGAGCTCTGCCAGAACATCGCGAAGCATCATCAGGACCAGCTGGATCCACGGGTGAGGCACGCGCTCGAGAACAAGCGAACCGGGGGAGCTGCCTCGGCGGCGAGTCTGAGGCTCTGCCGGGACGAGGTGCTGGCCCGATGCGGCATCGACCTGTCCACCTTCCTGGCTGAGAAGGAGCGCCTCAAGATGTCCTACAGGCAGGTGCTCGAGGACATACGCGGCTTCAACGGATCGCTCTGCCTCAAGAGGCAGTTCGGCGTGGCCTCGGCGAGGCTGGGCACGCCGCATCTCATTAGATATCACATACTCATGCCGCACAGTAAGATTTACGAGCATAACTACGAGTGTGCGTGCGCTGCAGAAATGTATAATAATATCGGATGTGCGATCGTTATTTATACCATTAACATTGCTTTGGCAAGGAAGCAGCAGCTGGTCTCTCACGCAAACTCGAGAAAATCGAAAAACTCGAATATTGACTTATTGCGCGTTAACGCATATATTAATTGTTTACCGTACAACTTACACAATTTGATTATGAGTTTATTTTTAAATTTTGGCTTGTACGTGCGATCTGCTTAACGAAATTTTAAAGCAACAGTTCATGCTCATAATAGACTTTGAGTTTTTTCCCTAGAAGCAACAACTTCAACTCCCAAAAGCAGTCTGTCTATATGGCAGAGACTGGCTTACTGCCAATGCTCGAAAACACAACAGTTGGCTATCGCAAAGTTTTCAGGAAAAAAGCTCGAGATATTTTTCATAAAAGCTTAACAAACAAGCGAGACTAATATTTTTTAATAATTCCAATAGAAATTTTATCGATGAAATTAACAATTCGTTGATTGGCTATTCTAAAAACGTCTGTATAAACTTGAGAGCTATTTTCGAGTGCTAACTCGTTTCTTTAATCTTTATAGGTACCATAAGACAAGAACGTCAAACACCACCACACGCTGGAAGCCTTCACCCCGCTCTGAGAGAACGAGGCAGAGCAATTCCATCGTCACATGTTGTGCCTAAAATTCAAGAAAGACCAGATCACATGATGCCCATGCCCATGAAAATGAGACCACCGATGGGCGGCGCGGGACACGTCGTACCGCCGCCCAAAAGCAATGGATCTCTGGGAATACTTATGCCACTATACACTATCGGAATCGTTATCTTTTTTGTTTATACCATTTCCAAGGTACTTATGAGAGTCTTCCTGCCACTTTACACTATTGGAAATGTACTATCTTTCACTTATAAAGCACTTCAGGTATCTTTTCTTTCTCTTACTTCTGACTTTGTGCTTGGGTTTTTCCACTTCTAATCAACTCTTTTCTGGTGTCTAATATTTACCAAAATTTTACCAAGTTTTGGATTTGCGACAATGATCGACTAGGATCTTTGTGAATGTTACTTTCCGAGCTTTCCGATACTCATACAACTAAAATCTTCTACTAAAAACATTCTGATAAAGTTCACGAACGAGTTCGACAAATTAATCCAATGCTTACTCCGTCAGGTATTGAGAAAAGCCGCCGATAATGAAATAACAAGGCCGGAGTATTCTACCGCGGCGGCGGAAAAAGAGTACGAGAATCTCGTCTTCAATCCTGAATTATTCGCGGCGGCCGTTAGCGCCGTCAACGAACCACAAGACAGGCCTCCATCGCCGCTCGAAGAGTTGACGCCGTCGATCGACGAACTGAAAACACGTGAGTAACCTTTCTCGAATCATCCCCAACGAGTCATTCCTAACTGTCATCGAATTAAAAGCTCACGATCATCGTCATTTTTTTAACACCGAGTTGAACAAAAAAAAAAAATTTCTATCCCCAAATGTTGATGTAAAAATGTTCTCTAAACTGTTCATGCGGCTATGGATAAAACGAAAGATGCGGCAGGAGATATTGAAATAGATCAACTCAGACGGCGATTGGTAGAAACCGAGGCTGCCATGGAACGAATAGTTAATCAAATGAGCAACTTGTCGCGTAACGTTATCAGTTGCTCAGCCCTTTCAACAGAACCCAAGGTTTATTGAATGAAAATTTTTTTTTAAAACAAGCCATTAATACTCTTTTATTACTTTTATCTTTTATTTAATTTTTTTTTCTCTATCTCTAATTTAACTCGATGGGTGGCACTTTTACTGTTTTTTTTTGCTCACAACTCAAGCTTTTCGTGTGTCCTCTTTCACACGTATTTTTTATTAATTATTTTTGTTTTATTATTTTTCTCCTCATTTGTTTATATTGTTAAATAGTCAATAGTTGGCCTGCATTCTTAAACGTATGCACAGTTAAATGTAAAATTCAAAGTTTTATTTTTATAAATTAATAGATCTAAGACTTGAATAAAAATATTTTTATCCGAAAGTTTATCATTTATAAGTTTGTTATTTTATTAGTTCGCAACTTAGTTCTTTGTAATTATCAGTGAGTGTTGAAAAAAAAATTCCAAACATCCAAGGTGGGTCTTCTCCTCGATACACTCTTCGGAATCACGACGTCACAAGTAGTTCTCGTAGTAAACTTAGCATTCGAGCACATTACTCTGGTCAATCACCAACATTACGATCTCTATATCATTTATTATTTCACTATTGTTTTTCTTCAATAAGTAGATGAAGCGACCGAGTCAAACGATCCGGCGGACGGGCTCAGTCCCAGTTCGAAGGTATTTTCCCATGATGCATAAAAGAGTGCAGAGTTAAGCTCCTTTAAGCTCTCTTTTGATGGAAAATAACTCAAAACAGCTTGACGCCGCTTCTTTAACTCGAGTTCATTGGATTTTACTTTCACATTAATACTTAATTCTATGCTTTCGACTGCAATACTTTTTTTTCATTTATAGTTACGCGTCACAGGCGTCGTTTTATTTTAGTTCTATTTCGCTTGACCGAACGAGCGCGACAATCGATGCGCTTGGTCGAAAATATTTTTCTTTGCAATGTCTGATACGCTCGATTTTTATTTATACGCTTGTTTTCGCGATAAAATATTTTTCTTTCGTAGCAAAAGAAAGTTATTCGAGTATTGTTATTTATAGTGTGAGGCATGCCATTTACATACTTTTTGTAAATTATTTTTCATTTTTATAGAATGAATGAACGATTTCTTGTTCAAAATTTCTAACAATTTTTACTGATTCAATCGACAGGATGAACATGACACCACTTGCACTTGTGATCAAGAAGTTTCCGAAATTGAAGAAATGAAGCCAAGTGTTAAAGTTGTTAATATGGAAGTAACTGCCTCGAGCGAGCACGGACATAAGCTCAGTCGACCGACTACGCCGACGTTTATCTTACCGTCTCATAAGTGAGTACACGTTTTTCCTCGCCTAATCTTCCTTGCAAGCTCATATTTTTGAAACATCATTTGAGATTCTTTTCTTTCTGTCCGCAAAAATAGTCACCACGAAGAGGAGCCGAAACCCGAGCCAGTTTCGATTTATTTAGAAGGGGCTCTGCCGGCGCAGTGCGAACTGTTGGTGACAGATTCGAAAACGTTAGAGCTACCGGACGAGGAGACGGAAGAAACTCCAGTCGTCCTGTCTAGCAAAATGACCCTGTCGCTCATCAGTCTTGACCAGGTAGCAGCCGCGAGAAAATATTAAATAAGTTAGCGTCAGAATATCAAACGCAACTACGGAATCTTTTTTTATTTGGTGATTTTCAATTATTTATTCGATTTGGTTTGTGCGGCTTTGTACCCCTGTAACATCAGGCTGTTATTGGGTGACTTTTTTTACACTAATCATTAACTCTAAAACTACTTATCAATAATACTGTTTTGAATTTGTACTAACTTATTTCGCGAGCGCACGATGAAAAAACATAAGATCTATTTTTCCGAGGCAAAAACCAATGATTTGTGTGATTGTTAAACGGCTTGTTCTATTTTAATTTTTCACGAAATTGATCGAATGTCTTTCCTCATTTTAAATGCAATTGTTTTGATTCGCGCAAAATACGAGTTTTGGTTTTGCCTTGTTTTTTTTTTGTACCAATTTTATAGATCAATACAACATTAATGTATGTTTATTTTTAAACTAGGAATCTGAAGACAACGATGCGCTTGAATCCCAAACAAATAATGCAGAAATATCGCGAATAGAAAAAGATAATATTACCGCTTTCAATGATGAAATTGCTAAAGAAGCCAAAGTAAATGTATGCGAAACTCGAACCAGAGAAAGTAATGAGAGTCAATGCGAAGAAGATAATTATAATGGTGAACATATTAAAGGTGAAAACGATGAGGAAGAAGATGAAGAAGAAGAAGAAGAGGAAGAAGAAGAAGGAGGAGAAGAAGAAGATATAGATACTGAACATAAATATCCTAAACCGTATCGAAAATACCAAAATACTTTACTAGATAACTACCGACCGGAATCAAATGACAGCCGAGCTTCTGACTATATTGACGATGACGACGAAGATGATGCATCCTCTGATGATGACGTTATTGTCGAAAGAGAATCGCTTCACAAAATTATTGAAAGAGAAGAAAGTCGAAAATTACCCCCTAGCAAAGGTATTAGTCAAGATACCGATGGAAGTGACGGAGATGATGATCAAGGAGACGAAAACGACGACGATGAAGAGTATGACGATGACGAAGATGACGATGACGAGGACGAAGACGAAGAAGTTGAATATGAGGGGGAAGAAGTGGTGGTGATTAGTGAAAATAACGTTGTTGACCATGAAAATGAATCAGAAGAAGACGAAGACGAGGACGAGGAGGTAGATTACGAAGATGAGGAGGAAGATGGAGAGGAAGATGAAGAAGATGATGATAACGAATGTGACGATGATAAAAACCACGAGGAAGACGATGATGAGGGCAGTGATGAAGAAGAAGATTATAGTGAGGAAATCGACGATGATAAAAGTGACGTTGGAGAAAAAAATGAAAGAACAATTGAACGAAAAGAGATCGAAATTATAAAAAAAAGAAATTAAATATCTGCTCGATAGTACAATTTCGAATATTCTTGTTTATTAGATTGATTAGTATGGCATATATAAAAGCAATTTTTTACAGAGCACACAAAATCGTCATAAATGATATAATGCATTTGAAAATGATCGATACTTATGCCTCGTTTATTAAATAATACTGAGGATTACTTTCAAAAACTTTTAAGTCTTAGATAGTGGACAGTTATGTAGAATATATATTATACAATGAAACACATGCCAATTCATTTGTCCACAAAAAGTTTTTAATAGTTTTGAGCCTCATTGATATCCATAAATACTTTCTAAGTTATCATTATAAATATACCAATGAAAAGCTATTAAGTAGAGAGTTATATTTGAATTATTAAATGTTTATAAAATCTTTTATAAAAACAAGTTTCTTAATATGTACGCACATGTAATTATATTATTAAATGTTTAGTCATATTCAAGAGCGTAGAGTAATTTGAACATTGCAACTTTTTTATCACTGAAAAAGTTTAACATTTTTTTATATACTATGTATAAATCGCAAAATGTTCGGATTCGAAATATTTAAATACAAACAAAAATAAAAAGTAAAAGTTGCTCGTCTATTTTACATCCCATCTCGACTAATATAAATAATCTCATTTGATATATTAATCACATTTGAAAGTATTATATAATTATTTTGATTTTGTCAATTGATACTTATTAATAACTATATTCTTACGTTTAATTATTTACAGATTGCTTAATCAGTCTTAAAATACTTTCATGAAATTGTTTTAAAAATTTGTACATTGTAATCTGAAAGACATTTCGATTAAATTTTGCGGGGCACAATCTTGATAACAAATATATAGCTCTCTGGGTTGAGGTGCATTATATAAACGTCCCACAACCCAGTAAGTATTATTTTCCCATTCAAATAGTATCCCATACTCTTTAATTGCAATCAAACTTTTGTTTATCACAGATTTACTTACATCTTGGCTTAATAATTTTTTGTACCTTTTAGTTTCACTCAAAAGTCTATGTATTGTTTGACTACTAGATTTCAAGTGTGATAAAAATTCTCGATCAATTTGACTTATGTTCGACGAAATCAAAATTCCTTCGAATAAATGAATATGGACGAAGTAAACCAATGAATTTTTTTCGCCGCTTGTAATAATTTTTGGAACGATGTATTCTGCTTGATTCAATAAATTTGCTCGAATACTGCTAAGTTCGTTGATAATGCTCTGATCAGTCTGAAAAAAACAGTGCATTTAAATAAGTAATTATTAAAGAGAAATGATATTTTTTAAAAAACTTACGTCTAAATCGGAGTCACTATCATCATCCGACGGTTTGGACGCTAGAAAGTTTGCTCTTTCCCTTGTTGCTCGTCTACCTAAAATAGGCGCAGTTTGATCGCTTAAAGAGCTAACTTGACTTAATGAATCTTGGCTGGGAGAATCGCGCGATGTCTCAAACGAATGCGCTGCAGAAATATTAGATCAAATTAATAAGGTGTCAAGTACTGTAAAAATTATTTACACAATTTTTACCAGAGTCAAAGCGCGCATCTTCGACCGATCGATTTTTAGAAACATTGGATGCATCGAAAGAACTCTTCGGTGTTGTAGAAATCATGTTATTGGAGGATCTCAATTGATTGGTTTTAATGTAGTCCATGAGATTGTCGGAAATGTTTGGTGACGCTTTAGAAGGCGTACTTCCTTTTTGAACAGCTACGATTTCGGGTTTAGCATTGGCATTTATCCATTTTTCAGCCAACATTGGAATGCCAATTTTTCTTATATGCTTCAAAGTTTCTTGAGCTTCTTCAACGTAAAATATATCGGGTCCCGCATTTTCGGCTAATCTACATTGGGGAGAAAAAAATGAATAATTCAAATGCAAAAAAAAAACGAAAACAAGGTAAATCTATATTTACACTGCTGTACAGCCTCCTGATTCCAATATGACAGCAAGTAAATCGTGACCATTGCCAACAATTAGTAAAAACCATTTGTCTACTAATGGATACACTTGATCTTCATTCCAGGAAAATTTTCTATTCAAGCAAGAAGAAGGATACACTCTTTTCCATACTACTAGAGACTTTACTTGTTCTTTATCAATTAAGTTCAACAGTCCATTTCGTCTTAAAAAGGATTGGATTTGTTTCAAATCTTCTGGAGGCAGATGAGATCCAATCAGATATCTTCTATGATAATAACAACTTCCAATGATCGTGTACAAGCGTTGGCATTCCAATGGATCTTGATTCTTTTGTATAAAATCGTGATTGATTCAAAAGTTACAAGAAAAGTAAAAAATAATGCATGTAATTTAAGTTATGCTCACCCAGTCTCTGTAATCCATTGCCTCCATTTCACTTAGAGCAGCATCAACTTGAATTTGTGCATCTCTTGGTAATTGAAGAGATTGAACGCTTGGCAATAAATTTTCCAAATGAAACATTTTTGCTTTATCATCTGAATTTGTAACAGCATTTGTATCGTCAACACTAGTTAATTGTGTTTTACTTTTATTACAAAGTTGTGAAAAAAATAAGTAAAAAAAATGATCCAAGTGTTTATGATTATCATCTATAATGAAACATTTTGATAAATTTCCATATGTGAATGACAAGCAGCATGTGATATCATTCAAAAGCTCAATTGCTGTATGCTTATCACAACTGTAAAAGTAATAACAATAATTTTAATGAGCATTAATAATAATTCTCACGTTAAAATTATATTTACTGACCATTTTTCTGGTAAACATATTAAAAGCAGATCTTCTCCAAAAGTATCATATATTATATTTTGAATCCCAGAGCTGGTTTTTATGGTTGTGCTAAAAATTAAAAATTTTCAATGAAATTATTATCTTGAAATGAACAATTACAAATAATACCTTATAGGCTTAGGCCCAGCAATGTCTGGTAACATATGATTCAGTGTAACAAAGGCACCCTTGATAGTTACCAAAAAAGATAACGCATTCTTGTTGCTCGATCTGGGGTAAGAATATGAAACTCCTTGCAAATCTGATTCGCTATCTGTAAATTCATTAATTTTCACACAAACTATTCCTACTGTATCCTTTATGAAGGATTCCATTGAAACTCTGCTTTCTTCTTTATCAATCAATTGTTTAGCTAATATTGATTGCTAAAATGTAAAAAGTTTTGCAATGAATTCAAACATTTAAAAAAATAAAATTATATAAATAAACTGTTTTTACATTTGGAAAGCTTAGTTCAGCATCAGGAAGATCCTCACAACTTTCATTTGGCACAGATTTTTGTAGCTGGCAAAGGATCTACAAGAAAATTGAATGTATGATACAAGTTTTTTCAATAGAGTCAAATAAGAATTTTAAAATTTACATATTTTTGAGAAGTTATTGTTGTGAGAATGCTCTCTATATTTTGATTAGTGACTTCTTTTGAATTAATTGATTGCAACCAATCACCCACTCTGATATCTTTGCATTTTAGCGCTTCTCCATCAGGTACAAAACCACCGACTATAATTTTTGATTTGTCAGAAGCTACTTGAGGTACAATACCTAAATAAGCTTCACAAACTGTAGCTCTTCTACCAAGTTTGTGTCTTTTTTCAGGATCTACCCAAATGTTTACAGTGTACTTTTCACCCATTTTAAAGTTACCAAGAGCATTCTCTCGCTCTTTGTTGAGTTTACTGATTGTCTCATGATTTCGTTTGAATTCTGAAGCCAATCCACTTAATCTCACACTATGTCTGTAACTTTCTTTGCGCTTTATCAGACGCATGAGTTTTTTTGTTCTAGTACTCCTACGTCTAGTCAATTCTGGCGGTGGAGAAATTAATTGACTGTCTTTATCTGTTTTATTATTCGTAAGTGGAGTGAATTCTGTCATTGATTTAATATAAAATACTTCACCAGATGGACTTATTTCCGATTCCCACTCAATAGCTGAACTGCAAAGGATTAATAAAAAATGTATTGTTAGTCACAATTATTCATGAAAGTATAAGTATAGTATTGATTGTTTACATACCCTGTACTATTAGAATAATAAGATCCTGTACTAGAGCCACTATCGCTTGCCCAACCGTCATTTTCATCATCGGCTGCATGTTTTTGATTTTTTGTATATGCAAAAGCTTTTTCATTTTGTTGATACGTCACAGTATCTCCTCGATCTTTTTCGTTACTCATTGTTGTATTTTTTTTTATTATTGACCTATACTATGAATAATAAGAAATCGGCAAATTATACCATAAGTTGTCATTTTTAAACGATTAAAAATTGATTTGCCATATCAATTAATTGTTTTAATTAATACATGGTAAAAATAATACGCCACTGCCTTTATGTGCGTTGCAACGCACAGGGTTCAACGCGTCGCCATAAAAAAATAATAATCAAAGCACAGGAGACGGCTTGACAGGTGAGTTCAGTGTGTGGAAGTAGAGGGGGCAAAGTACCGGTCTCGCCGCGCGGCCTGCAGACATGCGATTATCTGAGAATGTCGAAAATTATCGAGTCCTAAAGGAATTTACGAGATTTATGATGAAGGGTAATTTACAAAACCAAAAATTCATCATATGAATGTTATAAAAAAATGTATTTATAATGTTTATTACATTTCATTAGATTAACTTTTGTACTAATGATAATTCATGTATTATAAAAACTATACATTGAAGAAAAAAGAATACTTAATGATTTTAAAATTAGAATAATTATTAATAATCAAACCCTAATATTATTAAAAGTAAAAAATTAAAAAATTTTATTATGCATTTATCGAAAAATACACCTAATAAAAAATATGATTGAAATTTTCATCATGGCTACTTATTTATAACACAGATTACTTGTCATAGTAAAGATCTAGTATGTTTTCACTCTTAGTAAGAAAAGTACATCACAACTCACAGAGTATATTGTTACTTTAAAAAATTATGTATAATTATAACAAATTAATCTAAAAATTCATTTTCAAAATTTTTAAAGAAACCCATTATCTTATGGATCGTTTTAAGCAAGATACAGCTGAAGTTTGTTTAACGGGCTCCTTTTTCTTGTGTGGATCTGGTATAAAGCATTTCCATAGTCTTAATGTTTCATCAGCACCAGCACTAAGCACGGTTGTACCGTCTGGTGACATAGCAAGATGGAGTACCCGACTGGAATGACCAGTTAGTTCAGCTACTTTATTCATTGTTGGATATTTCCAAATTGTCAGTTGGTTTTGAGCATATCCATGACCAGAAACAATTTCCTTATAAGTAGTTGACCAAAGAAGCGAACAAACTTGAGACTTAGTGTCAATTGTATTGAGACAAGCACCTAAAAATTGAAAGTATTAATTAGCATTATGAATTATCACAACAAAGATTAGAAATTAAGCACTGTTCTTTACCAGTATTACAGTTCCAAAATCGAATTGTTCTATCGGCTGTTCCTCCACCACTAGCCAGTACATGATTTTGCCAAGGGCACCATGCTAAGGCTTTCACAGCAGCTTGATGCTGGCTAAGTGAATAAATAGGCTGAGGGTGAGAATAATTTGTTCCAGCTACACCTTGCCAAATTTGTAACATATTATCATTTCCTCCACTTGCTAAGTATTTTCCATCTGGGGACCATTTTAATCCACAAACTTCTTGAGCATGAGCATTAATTGTTGACACTAGATGTTCTCGCTGTCTTACATCATGATGTATGATTTGTCCCGCTCTATAATTATTAAATTAAAATTATTATTAAGTTGCAAATAAATTCAGTGTTATTAGATTCACTAAATTAAAATAAAGAAGTAAAAGTCATTTAAAATGTATTATCATTCAACTTGATGATAATTACCTGCAACCACTTGTCAAAATGTGTGAATTCCATGACAGAGAGCCAACTCTTGCAGAGTGTCCATTCATAACTCTGACTCTCTTCATTTGACTGCAATCCCATAATTCTGTATTTCCTACAGTAGTACCTACAGCTAAATATGGACCTTCTTGAATCCAAGCAACTGAACAGACATAGTCGTTGCCTTCCAGTTCAAAAAGTTGCTCTATGGTTCCTGTACCAGCATTCCACAAATATACATTGGCTCCCAGTGCTACAGCCAATACATTGCTCGTTGACCAGTCAACCAAATTTAAATCTATTATTCAATTGAAATTTTTGATCAATTTCCCAGATTATAAACAAATTATTATCACATAATATATCATCATCAAATATCTTACAATAATCATCCACTATTTCAGGGGCATCTAAAATCCTGTCAGGTGCATTTGGAATGTATCTTGTAGAAGCTTTTACGCTTGCAGGGGTTTTAGATTGGCTGTAGACAACTCTCAATGGATTTTGATATCCTTCTGGAGGTGCGGGGGCTTTATTTTGATAAGACAGTACTCTCATATTACTTAAATCTCCTCCATGTAAATTTTCTCCGATCAAGCGCTGCATTTCACGTTTATTAGGACTGGTTTCATTTTTATTATCTGGATCAGTATTTTGTTGCTGCAACTATAAATTAATTGAAATTAAATTATTACTTTAAAAAATTTTTAAAAATACTGCAATAATTTAATAATAACCTTGAAATACCCCAACTCAAAATTAGTTGTAGTTCTTGTAGGTATGAATCGATCTCCACCACAAGGAGTTTTATTTGGAGTTGTGGCTCGACCTATGCAATCAAACAATGTAATAATCAAAAAAATGAATTATGCAAGATCTTTTAAAAAATAGTACATACTTGGAGATTTTTTGCTGTTTTTGGAAGGTGTTTTTTTTCCATTTCGAATTTCTATTCCTTTTTTGGGAGTTTTGCCAGAACTGTTATTACTGTTGTTGGCACTAGTCACATTCATTGCTTTTCGCGAAGTATTCAAACTCATGTTTGCACTAATGATTAAACAAAAAATATTGTTAAAATTTGGCATCTACAGTAATACAAAGAATCAGTAAATAATAACTCACGCCGATGAAGTCGATGTCTCGAGACATTTCTTCTGCCAACGGGGTACAGGTCCTTTGATGGCATCGTCCATTCTCGTTAATGTATTGAGTTCCTTCATATACTTCAAATGCGACATTTTTAATGATATACAGTGACGATAATTTTGAGAAGAAGAATTAAAAGGGCAAAATTGACGTTAGATCTCCTTGAGAGCGTCCTGCGTGATAGCGTGTGTAGCGTGAACGTGTTTTTATTATGGCGCTAAATTGTTGCGCACATTCGTCACTTCGCTGGCAGTTGATCTTGAGTCAGCTTTTACTTACCTAGAAAATTAATATTTTCGATGATTATTTACACAATCGTGGGTGCGCACTTTGACAGTAACGAGCTTAAGGTTATCCGTGCGGCGCTTTCAAGAAGCCGTTGGTACCTTGTAGCAGCTGGAATAAACATTCGACGAGGGACCGAGCCCGGGATGATTGTTGCGGGAGCCAAAATTAAAGGGCAACTGCAGAAGCGTTTCAACGGCTGCCGCGCGACCGTTACGGAGGATATTTCAAATAGTGAAACTCGCCGCGACGACAGCGCGAGTCTCGTGTGCGCGTGCAAATCGTGTAACTTCCCATGCATACAGAAACGGCCGATAAAATGAATCACTGCTTAAGCTTGATACAAGCTTTGCTTCGCGAGAAGCGTGACAGTAACTTCGGAGCAAGAGGCCTTTTAAATCACCAATTTCAACTGCATCGTCTTGCACGTGAGGACTTTTTAATGCTACTCATGAATATTTATAATCTGTCACTAGAGTTCTGATTTTGAGCGAAATCCTTACCCTACCCTAATTACCTGCATGTAATTACATGCAAATTTGTGCCTTCGTGCTACAAAAAACTTTTATACAAATAGCTAATATCATTACTTTTTTTTTTTTAATGTAATAGGAAAATATTTAATATCACGATTGTTTTAATCCTGTCTTCGTATTTTTCAACCAAAATCCGTTGAAATATATTTACTTGGACTGTTTAAGAAGAGATATAAAACTAAAATGAAGTCTTGCATTTTTTATTAGGTATTCAATGTACATAATATTAATATAAATACATTTCACATGTTTATAAAATGTTGACATTTAAATTTCGATATGAATCATTAGACGAATCATAACGATTACACCACGCTATACAAAATTCGCAAAAACACAGGTTACATTTTCTGTACCAAATGTCAGTTTCTCGTAATTCATATTATTATTTGCTAAAAACATAAAAATAAGTTGATTCCTAACAGTCATGTGGTAAATTTACCAAGTCCACAATGAGCAATACTAGTTTCTTAGTTAGATAAATGTACACAAAATATGTCGCAAAATACACATTTAAAAAGTACTGGAGTACTGAGCATATTTTTTTCAAAATTTTTACCGAAATCATAGTTTTAACCAGGAATAATTCTACATTAGGAAAAATTCTGGTAGTAAACGTGTCGTGTCGGGGCACGAACGATTGCACTTATTTTTAAATTTAATTACAATGTAAAATTTAGCTTAACGTAATTCAACTACATTAATTACTTTTTATCGTATCATTTTTTGTCTAAAATAATCGAACGGATTTCTATCAATTTGATAGCAGCAACTAACTCACGTTTTGAGATATATCGTTCGTTGTATCGAAGCACAAAACAACCTAACTAATTAAGTATCTGTAATTAAAAAAGAACTTTGAAAATTACTTGTGCAAGTATGCAGTTCTCTAAATTGAAGTTGAGCTATAAAAACCTAGAATTTGAGCATACTTGCCGAGTTATTTAGTACGAAAGACATTGTACATATGTTTAATATAAAAATTTCTCTGACATTGATAAATACTTCTCAACTAAAAAAAATCTAAAAATATACAACATTAGCCGTTTATGAGTTCACAAACTTATTCAAATGGAGCATTAAACATGAGTTCTTGGTCTCCAAACATTTGGAGTACGTCGGACAATTCTTGGGGTTGAGCATTAGATTGATTTGGCGCGGCTGGATGCGGAGCTTGCTGCTGACCGCTAACTTGAGCGTTGGGTTGACCGGCAGCCTCCGTAGGTGGTCCTTGATGCTGTTGTTGACTTTGCCAACTCCACATACCAGAATTATTATTAGGCACTGTTGCATGGTATTGAGCATGAGTTGGCGTTCTGGCTCCGCTACTCAACTGAGTATATGTTGGTCCGCTCGGTGATCTGGAGGGACTCGATTGACTGTACTGATAACCCTCGCACGATACAGGTTGCTGTTGAAAGAAGAAAATGTTAATTAATATTATTTGATATCATTCAAAGATGGTTTTTTTTATAGAAATTGTTATTTACTTGTGCTAAACTCGACCAATTGCCTGCTGGAGTAACCTGTGTTGTAGGTGAGTTAGGAGCCGGTTTTTGAATTCTATTTAAAACTGAAGAAGTACTCTGTGGTCCCGGAGAACCATATGCAATAGGAGAATGAGTCGTTTCATAACTCGGGTACATATTTTGTGAACTTGGAGGTCTCGATTGCTGGCTTTGAGGTGGCGGTGCTCCTGGACCACCAGGTAATACAGCTGAATGCTGTATCATGTGAAGCGGATTAGGAGCCGTGTACATTGGATTAGGCCGCGCGTGTCGATCCATGGAGTAGTCTAAACTTGGCTGAGCATATCCAGAAACAACTTCATTTTCAGGTTGAGAAGAATCTCCAGCAGCAATACCAGCAGGTATCAATCTATTAGAATTGCAGAAACAATAGAAATGAATAAAAGTTTAAAAAAGTTTGGGATAAATACGTAACAAAAATTATTCTTACTTGGTAGCCAAGGCATTAGTGCAAATGATATATTCAACTTCGTCATTGAAAGGATTCAAGAACGCATAGGCCGACGTTCTCAGCCAAACCCATTCTCGATTCTTCGCTTTAAATCTGTACATTACCGATAGAACTTGTCCTTTCATTTTTAAAACCTGTTCAAAGCTTTCCCGCATGTGAGTGATGTCCTCGGGATGGAAGAAATCGTAGCAAACGTGGCCAAGAACTTCTGTAGATGTGTATCCAAGTATACCAGTGATTCGTTGATCAACAAATGTAATTTTACCATCTATCGAGTGTCGAGTGATAAATTCTGAAAATAAAATTTATAATTAAAATAATATAATGTCGAATTGATGAAAAGTTTTAAAAAGAGTGAAATAAAAATTCCAAATACTGTACCATTGGGACTGTTAGCTTGTGCATTTTCGCTGGTGTTGGGCGTGCTAGTGACCTGCAATCTGCCGATGGCGACTAAGCAGTAGTGATTCGCATTTTCATCGCCGCCCCTGCCATCATTGGGTACTACATTGCCCACACCTGTGGGTATAGGAGGAGGTACAAAATCACCTATAGCACCAATCGAAAAATCATTGAGTGATGTTACGAAAGTTTAATGGTCAAACGAATACAAAAAAGTCTAGCTTTAGTTTCTCGAGAAATTTCGGCTTTTAGGAAACTGTATTCAAGACACACATCAAACCAGCTTAATATCACGCTCCGAGTCAACGAAAAGTCCAGTTCAGAGTTCGAGGACTCTCGATAGGCAAGAAAAGCTGACTTACCCGTTGGTGGCCAATTTTTTATGTAGCCGGTACAATGCACGACCGCATAACTTTGGCCGTCTCGCGCGGGTGGCCCGAGCGAATTTCGCTGCTTCATCCTCTGCAGGCCGTGAGCCGCTGCCATGTCGCCGGTGGTTTGCAAATTTCCGACCTTCATACGGCAGATGAAGCCTCGACGAGAGCCCATGCAGAGCCGGACGGATGCTGTCGAGACGAGGCGAATTTATTATTGCGAGCGAAACTGGCAAACGTAAGCAGGCAAACGAAGAGATGAAGAGATAACTCACATTGGTGTCCCTCTTTTTTGACGGTGCCCGTTTTGAGATCGAGAACTCGACCGGTATGCTGAGGTTCGGCTGTGCTCAACTGCTCCCTGACCTTGTCCGTGTCATCGGGATGCACCTGATTGTACAGGCTGGTGCCGTACCACTCGTTCTGAGAGTAATTCAACACCGGCGCGATCGAGTCCGACACGTAGATAATTCTGCCGGTGTCGCAGCTGACGACGAACAGAAAGCCGTCGGCGGCCTCCAGTATCAGGTGCTTGAGCTCCTGATCCGTCAAGAATGATGGTTTGTAGGTCCCGTCAGCGCTGGTGTTGCCCGTGCCTAAACAGAAAAAGAATATCATCGTCTTTCCTTACCAAGTTTACGATTCGAGTGCCCCTGCAGGAGGATAACGAAATAAAATCTTCAAAGGATCAGAAAAACAAATTTAACAGCAACAAGGACACGATACGAGTATTCGCGGAGTAGCAGAATTATATCGTCCTACAAGATCAGAATGGACAAACAAGAAAGTCTCTCCTCTTTCTCTTGTGTCCAGCACATCATATAATACATACACACACCAACGAGCGTTGGATGACTATTTTTTTCTCTCTCCCGTGTGTGTATGTGTGTGCGTGTATTCCAAGAAAGGTTGCAACGCAAAAGCCTACACCGTCCTCCCGCGCGCATGTATTGTCATCATCATGCACAATTGACTCGTATTATGTGGCTGTGTAAGTATATACGGTGACGATCGTATTTTTTTCCTTTTCTTCTTTCTTTCGTTGAGATTTATGTACGCGCGTTTAAACGTTGTCCTGGTCGACGACGACGACGACGACGACTGCACGGTGAGTCGAAAAGAAAGGGAGAGAGAGAAAAAAATATCCAAAGTAGATGAGAAAGTTTAACTCGGTGACGACGATGATGCGCGCACGCGAGAGGCGATCATTTCGTATGCGACGAGTGTATAAATGTGATACGCGGCTATAAACAATTCTCTTTCTGTCCCTCCTCCCACTACTATTCGCACCGGAACAACAGGTGAGCTCGTCGTCGTCGTCGTCGTCGTCACTGCCGATCTTTTGTTTTTATTCTTTGGATTATTTTGAACGTGGCATAGGATAAGGTTTTACTAGTAATTTTTTATAATTGTCATGTAAAAAAAAACGTCGTTGTTGCTTACCACGGAGATTTTTCATGTGAGCGACGGCCATGCGAAGGATGGTGAGCTTGTCGGGTTTGCGAGCCAAGGCGGAGCACGTTGGCACCATGTCTGACAGTTCGGTGATGTAAGCGGTCATCTTGTTTCTGCGTCGTCGCTCGATCTCGCAGTGATTTTCCCTGCTGCTCGTCAACCAAACGTAATTGGGCATTAGTATATTATTTGATTTCAATGCGTTATAAATTTTATAGTGTAAAAAAAAAAAATCACCTTCTACAAGGATGTCGTCGTGAATAGTTGGAAAATACAAAAAAAAACATAAATAGTGATGTAAATAAGTCTGTGTATGATTTCTCTTTGGTACCCGACAGTATACAAGGTATTATTTCTTAGCTTGTAACTACCACTGTGTTTTTAAAAGGTCAAGGGTCGCAAGTCTCGACCTTTCTCTCTCTCTCTCGCGCGCGAGAGAGCGAGAGCGCAGCAACAGCAGACCCTCGGCGCCGCCGTCACCACTCGTGTTGCAAGACAGTATAATATACCTACACTTAATGTAAGATCTCTGTAAGAATTTTATTTATACATCTTTTCAGCTCTTCTTTGAAAAAAAAAAGATAGTAAAAGAAAAGAAGAAGCGCACGAGAGACTTCAAGATTCGTTGAAAACAACATTGTACTTGCGGGGCTGCTGGAATAAAAAATATTTTAATTTCTCTTATATGACGAAATATTTTATAAAAAAAGCTTCGCGAGAACATTATTTTTCTATTCTCTGATGTTTTCTGAGATTTTCAAAATGACCGAAGGCGCTTTTGAAAAATTCGACAAGTTTGAAAAATGCCAAGTAAATTCACTTAAAGAGCAATTGGAGCAAAACGTGTTGAATTACAAAAAAAAGGTGCCTGCTCGAGATGGAGCTCGTGGCATCCGCAAAATAGAGTCATTAATTGTCGATTTTTTCGTCCTGGAAAAAAGGCGATTCTTCATTGATGTATGTGTAGCTATATATGTGTTATGTTGTATATATAGACGCGGAACGCGCTACATACGGCCTGCCTCGTTTCCCACGCTGTATACGAGTATAGTAATAGTAGTAGTAGACGTAGTTAGTGGTATACGCGTGTGTATGTAGTATATCTATACATGTGTATATGTATACTTATATACAAGAGCCTCGAGTCCACTGCATGCATGTACACATTGAAAATTCTCTCTCTCTCTCTCGTGTTCTTTCTGGCGGGGGTGTAAAACGGACCCAGCGTATATACACATATGGGTTTAACCATGACAAGTGTAGTATGCCAAAAATTAAAAGTGAATTTATCATATGAATTTAGTGTGTACTTTTTAAATAATACATCGGGAAATGAAGTACGTAAAAATTTGAGCCCTGTGGGTCCATTCTCCATGAATCTATTGAGGCTCAAAGTTAGATTTTCATTTCATAGAATTTATTCTGCTTTTATGCAGTGATTTCGAAAATATTTGAGTAATTGTCTGTTGATTCAAAATTTGGTTAGGAATTAAAATTTTTTATCATAAATCATGTTTATAATCTTAAAAAAACTTTTAAAAATGAAAATATAATATAAGATCAAAATTAATGTTGTTTTTATGCTTTAAATTAGTCAATATTGTGATAAAGTTAAAGTACTACTTTACACTAAATGACTTCATAGGCAGGTCGATAGAGAAATTCGGTTACGCGTTAAAAGGATGAAAAGCATAGTTTTTCCTTTTATAGGATGTGAAAAAATGAGTTTATTTTTGTAATTTTCAATTTTTTTATATTTTCACCCAATAAAAGCAAAACAAGACAAACGGAATAAAAGGCTCAAATTGACCGGATTTTTTGTCAACATAGTATTTATTAGTACATAATTAGTTTCAATTTGAATTTTCAGCATATTAAACTTGTTACAGTCTAGCCCATATATCTATGTGCTGTACAGAGTAGCGGCAGCAGCAGCAGCGCGTCAACGACCCGTGAATCTTTCGCGCGCGCGAGCGAGTAGCTGCGCACAGAAAAAGCATGTATATTATTACAGTTGAAAAGGGATTCGTACGTAGCATGTACATTTACATGTTATGTGCCCAACCGTATACAAACATACACACACACGTACACACTTAGAGACATTCGTAGAGTCGAGATGTGGCATATTATATACAGCGCACTCTGTCTTTTCTGTCTCAGCGTGGCCAAAGAGTAGCGCGTGGACGCGAGAGAGTCTTTCAGAGGCCTCCACGCTCATTATTATTCGACGCAGGTAGACGCGTAAAATTAAAAAAGAGCCAGCACCAATGCAAAAAAGGGAGAGAGAGAGAGAGAGGAATATTGCGGAACGATTGGACTTACCTGGCGAAGCGCTCTTTATCTTGAATATTGTCGTCTTCCATTCTTCTGTATTTGCCCGAATTCGGGTCGTCCTCATCGGATCTGTGAACACAAAGAAGACGGGCTTATAGGCACGATATAGCTAGCGTTTTACCAACAGGTCTTCGTAGCTAATGATGTACATCGCGAGTGATTCGCGTTTGTATACATGTGATCGACGATAGCTGCGAAGACGAAACACATGGAATCGTCCGCGTGATGTCGTCTCGGAGCTTCGATTATTCGAATCAACGTAAAAGTCTCAAATTCGATTTCATTCGTATACAGATGAGGTGTTTTTATAAAAAAAAATGGATTCATAAAAATTTTGCTTGCGCTCGAGTAGGGTGCACCACGTGGTTCCCATATGTCCGCGCTATATAAAACGCATATAATAAAAAGGCTTATAGCAAGTAAGCAAGCAAAGAACAGAGCAAAAAGAAAGAGAGACATGCTAGAGAGAGAAAGAGAGAGAGGAATACTCCGGTGTAATATAAGCGCGCATCCGGGTAAGTTGTACCTATGGTCCTTTCTCTCTCACTCTCTATCTCTCTTTTTCTACCGCAAGAAGCGCAGTGTACACAAGTGGTAGTTGTACCCCTTCCTACATTTATTCCCTCGTTGTTGCGCCGCTGTTGTTGTAGTCGCTGTCGTAGTTTTATTATTTTTTACGTCCGCGTCGCAAGCGCATTTTTCACCACTATCATAGATATATGTACCTCGATAAATGTTTATGTACAAGAACGTATTCCTATCTTTTCGCAAAATCCGTTCGAGATCTCGATCGAGCAATTAAGAAGCAGTAAAGCGCAGTGGGACTGCATAAATTTGCGCCTAAATACTTATTAGCTGCGATAATTTTGTTTTAATCGACAGCTCGCAGGGCAGCGTGACTATCATACATATAATATATGCAAGTGCAATTATCGCTTTGTGCTTTGTATAATTTTGTATTTACATTTAATTCCGTATCGTGGGATGTACTAAGCAACTATACACATTTACGCGAACATCTCTCGACACACTGCGGCATGCATTAAAACAAACTTTTTATTCATTGCCCATATCATCGAAACTACGTACGTAGTTAATTTATAATTTCGTATTCAGACCCGTTATCAAGGCTGAGCGGGGTACTATTTAGCACGTTTGTTTTTTAAATGTACAATACATGGACACGATACTTTTTGCTTTTTAAATCTATACATTACATGTATGCATGTAGGCCACGTTCTAATAATGTTTGTTTTCTAAGCTTAATAATAATACACGTGCTTGTTAAAAAAAAAAAAAAAAACAACGTAACGTGCAATACTTTTTCTAGATATGCTATCGATGCATTTTTAAAGCTTTGTCCTTGATAAAAAAAAATAAAAAATAATACATTTTTCGAAAGCTTATCTCGCCCGTAAAGCGCGACTTTCAACGCAGCTCGGTACATTGGAAGCGGCGCAACGATTATTTCGGTAAAAAGAGTTTGTATACTTTTTATACAAAATTTGTGTACCAACGTCATCCTATATAGCACAAACAAAAAAATTACTTTGGAAAACACAATGTATACAACTTTAGATTTAACGAGAAAGTTTAATGCGGATATTTTGACTCCGATACCGATTCGCCGATCGCGCGCGCGAGCGAGTTCGTTAACCCTCCCTGTGTTTATAAAGTAAAAATATAGCCGTGACTGCGGTACATGTATATCGAAGAGACTCGATACGAAGAATAATGGCCCCATTGATATTTTGATAGCAAATTCATCCTTTTGCGAAGGGTGCATGCCATTTGTCATTTTGAAAATTGTACGTCTCGCGTCTTGCCGCGAATTCGACGTTTCATCGCGAGCAATGAAACGTCAAAATTCAGCCGCGGAGCATGCACGTGTACGACTGTATATAAACGGTTAACGGCCCGCGAGTACGAACCATGTCTCAAGAAATACACACACACACACACACATATGGTTATATGTGTAATGAGCACGCGATACACACACATAAATACACACACTGCAAATGTACGCGATTGCTATTATATGCAGAGAAAAAGCACCGCACGCGCAGGATATTATGTAGCATCTAAGAGAGTAGCCATAATCTCAATAGCGTCATCATGTATAGCGCTGAGCTCTCATGCAAATAACAACCTCAAATCTCAGTTACGTGTTGGATTTTCGAATTTTTTACCTTTTTTCACTTTTTTTTTTTGTTTAAGCTGCACGTGTGCGTATGGACATACGTGGTCCGTGCAGCTAACGGTGCTTACCGCTTTTTTTCGCCTTGTTTTTCATCGCGCGAAAATTAAGCGCGCGAATACCATGCATCGACATAAATATTTCATATTTTCAAAACAAATCGCAATGCGAGCAACGCGTTCGTGCGCGAATGAAAAAAATATTTTTTTATCACATCGTTACTCGTGTTTCTTTTTACTCGTGCGCCGAGGTAAATTAAGATTTTCTGCTCTTATGTATGATATTCTTTTATTTTATAGATCAAGGTGAAGTAATAACAGGTAAGTAATGCATTATAATAATACGTTTAAAGAAAGGCAGAGAAAGAACACCTTGATTTGTCAAAAATTATTTCAACCATGTCTTGAAGTTTTCGTCTGGTGATTAATATTTTATTTCCTGACGTACTAATGTGACGTGAAATTTACTTTGACGTTCTTGTAAAAACATAAATATTTTTATGAGCTTATCTGTCGATTAGTTTTGCTGTATTGAAAAGGACGCTTTACATTTACTCGATTCATTAACAATACTTGTATTATGTAGCAAGCAGTCATGAGTTTGCTTAGATTATGTTTATCTCATATTTAAATACTTCTTTATGATGTAATTGATGATAAGCTTATGATGATGTTTTTTTTCAAATCACCTTGAAAAGTACTCATTTCCGTTTTTGTCGGTACATTTCAGGGCATCCCCCGTTTCCAGCGCAGTCTTCCCAAAGGTAAGCTAACTTGATACAAACTGCGTTGGTAGGCAAGCTTTTCGGCTAAATTCATCTTTCCGAAAGCTTCATTAATTTCTCGTATAACGAAGATCTCATTACTACATAATAATGCTTTTCTTGAGTTTTACTCTCAATTTTTATCAAGCTCATACTTTTTATCGAACTAGTTTGTAAAGGATTTTTCAATTTTTTCGATTGGGAAATCTGATACTTATTAAAGATATATGATAATCCAGTCCAAGTTTAAGAATCCAGTGAATTTGAATTCAGATACCAAGGTAAACTCTCATCTTTTTTCGTCGGATGATTGTTGTTTTTTGCGGAAAAAACTAACGGGAAAATTTGAATAATTTAAAATAAATTTGAATAAAAATCTAGATTTGAGCGTGAAATAAGACGTGGTCGATTTTACTTATTAGTTAAATTGAGAATCGCAACACATCGATGTTAAACCCATAGCTAATCGGTTGAGTTAGCCGAAAAATCAAACGAAAACATAAACGAAAAACGGTGTACCTCTTACGCTTGGTCGGATTAGTGAGTTCTGTCAACTGTTGATGGGGCTGCATACAAGCGTTAACGTGATGCAAATCGTTGGGATAGGCCATGGGCGGCAGTACCGAGCCAGCCGGCAGCCCATGGTAATTCTCCTCGTAGGAGGGTATCTGCTCGTAACCCTCCATACCACCGAGCGACGCAGTACCGGTAAACATGATTCTTTTCTCTTTTTTTTCTCACTTAAACTAATAGGGCACCCACGAAGCACTGAGAGTCGAGGCGATCGACGCTCGCACTCGCGCACACACACTGGAAAAAGAGAAAAACATTCACGCACGTGCAGTCCGCTGATTCATTATCGGCGGCGGCGGCGACGATTCTCTCTTTATTCTTTCTCCTCTCGTTCGGGTGGCCTCTAGATTCGATCGGCCGATTTATCGAGACGTCAAGCTTTGAACGTGACCGATGGCAGGAACCGTTTTTTCTGCACGCGCATCAAAAAGTACACTGTCAACGCGAACGCAGCTCAACAGCGAGCTTGTAAGCAGGATGTGGCGAAAAGCCCAAGAGTTCGCCTCGGCTTTCTGTCGATGGAGACGCGGGCGCGCGCGCCTTGCTACGCGGACGTCCGTTCGGTAAGAGCGCTCGGCACAGACTGACACTTTTCTTTCGCACTCGCTATTATATACCGCCGCCTCTTCTACCAGAGTATACTATAAACCAGGCGCTCGCTCGGGCATACACATGCACACCACACCGGTGCAATGTGCCTCTCGTCGCTTAAATGCCTCACATATAGGGTATACCTAACATTATAATATAATAATGCTTCACTCCCACCAGTGACGATCTCAAAATATCCCGCACACATGCATCGAGTGGCTCGCAGGACATCTGATTTCGTTTTTGGAAAAAAAGCGTCTGTTCCTCCTCCGTCTATATATTACGTACGCACCGCGGCCGGATTCCTCAAACGAATCACCGTAAAACATCCGCTGCTTCTGCCGTTACGGAGGCGCATAAATGAGTGGATCTCGGGCGATCGCTTTCGAACGATGTGTACCTACACACAGTGTACCTGTTGCTGTGACCATAATACGGATTCGAGTCGATATTGACAAAACTATTTGATGCATCGCGGAGCTCCTAACTCAATGGTTGCTCTTGTAACGAGGAAAGAATGAGAAATTGAGATCACGTTCTACGAACGCTTCAATCCAATGTACTCTGGATTAAAGATTCGATTAATCGAGCAACGGTGTCACTTTTCAACCGTGCTCTTGAAAGACTGCACGATTTCAATGATTTCGGAAAAAGTACTTGATGATTTTAATGATGTTTCAGATTATTCGAAATGTGTCAAACGATCGTTTGTTTTTTTTTTTTTTTTTTTTTTTTTTTTTTTTTTTTTTTTTTTTTTTTTTTTTTTTTTTTTTTTTTTTTTTTTTTTTTTTTTTTTTTTTTTTTTTTTTTTTTTTTTTTTTTTTTTTTTTTTTTTTTTTTTTTTTTTTTTTTTTTTTTTTTTTTTTTTTTTTTTTTTTTTTTTTTTTTTTTTTTTTTTTTTTTTTTTTTTTTTTTTTTTTTTTTTTTTTTTTTTTTTTTTTTTTTTTTTTTTTTTTTTTTTTTTTTTTTTTTTTTTTTTTTTTTTTTTTTTTTTTTTTTTTAATGTACAGTTACTTTGGATGATGTAAACATGTGACAAATGTGTCAATCTAGTAGCATAAACAGAAAAAAGTGAGCAACGACAATAGGCAAATTTCTCCTCGTTTTACAATTCGGGCGATACAAAGCAGGTTGCAATGCATCGAGAGGTGTGCACAAAGCTTGCCCAACAATTACCACACAAGGTTCCTTGAGAGCTTGTCGTACTGTGTCCCAACAGCAGCTCGCAGCGTTAACCTTAAATTCCGCACTCTTGACTTGACTCTATGTACACACACACATACACACACTTGCCAAAATACATATATAGCGATCGTGGTTGGCGGAGGAAGCCCTCGAACGCGTAATATTTAACGCACTTATCTGTGTACGAATGCATAATACGCACGCTCCGCGAGCGCATGAATTAATTAACTTGTAATGGTGGCCGAACTTGAACGTCGAGATGTAAACAAGCGAGAACAAAACGTCAAATGCATCTACTGTAGCATAATAAATATACTCACCCAACGCTCTCGTTGCTCCGATTTTGTGACAGTTTATTCGAGGTAGTACCTGCAACGTTTTACGTATACGTGAGAAATGATAGCTACATGCACCGCTCGCGGCTATTAATATATCTCTTAAATGGATCATCGAACTCGGTATCAGTATGAGCTATTTGCGATAAGCTGCAGAGCGATACTAACCTGGCATAGAGTGAGCTATAGCGGACATTTGGATAAACATGCAGCGTTAAAGGTCGTGTACGACGTTCTGTTTTCGCTGTATATATAATGGAGATATCACGCGATAATGCAATTTAGGATGCGCATAAACACCACGATCACTGCTGCTGCTGATGCTGTATCATTTATACGCAACTGTACCACATCTCCATCGGCCGATGTGCGACTTTTTCAAGTCAATGATCCGTATTATACGTCCGAGCCGTCGGAGTAGTTATGCTGCATATACTCACAAGTTATGCACGTACACAGGGATATATATTTGTCCACATACATATATAGACGCGCACGAGAGTTGCACACACGTAGGCCACTGACTGCAGCGATTAAGAAACTTATATGCGCTACGAACCTTCTTGTTGTGTTGCCCGAGTCGTCGTCGTCGTATCGCACTATCGCGAGACGGTCGTTCGACTGTGTGAAATGCACCTACACCGACACGATCGCCATTTTGGACTTTTCTTTGTCATTTGTTGTCTGTACGTGTGAGCTGCGGGTGTATGTGTGTCTGTGCGCGTACACAGCCACGGTGTTTTCAACCGCCTGCTGCTGCTGCTGCTGCATTGGATCCACTCGACACGTCTGGCATGTACACACACCACACATACTCATATACAGTCGTCGACGACTCCACTCTCTCGCAGACTTGGCGTTGGCTTATGGCACGATAGCTGCTGCTGCCTAATGCGGCTATGGGTGTGGGGGTGTAAGATTGCGCTTGCGCTCTTATTTCGCGGCGGCTCCGTTAATGTTTGCGAGCTTGACCGCCAATCGTTGACGCGTTTGAAATTGACTTTTAACAAAAATAAATTTGGAGATTCGGTATTTTGAATTAAAAGAAAAGTGAAATTTCCTTGAGAGAAATGCTGAATTTACAAACGATGTGATTTTGCAATTCATCGTGTTGATTTTCATTTTGTAAGAGTCGCATTTTTCGCGCTTATCGCGTGTCTCTGCATTCTATTATTTTTATTATTTATATTATTCTTTTGATACTGCAATAAATCAATCCACCAACGGAAATGAACTGTTTACCTTTCAGTGACGCTTGATCATTGACATTTATTCCAGTTTTCTGCTAAATACGTAGAATACGCGTGCGACGCTAGCAATATTGTCATTCGCAAATCGTAATCTAACCTGAAATCAAGCCGACAGCTAAAAGTTGTTTACTATTGTCTGTGCGTTATTCAAGACGTTATTTATGGCCAACATGACTTGTGCAGAGTGTAATTTAGTTCAGTAGTTTTATAATTCAACGACCTGTGGAAATAATTGTAATTTCATAAAAGGAGCATAAGTGTAAATAATAATATTAAAACATGATCAGAATGGCTGGATCAAATGAGTTATTTTATGGTGAACCAGAGCAGGATGCTAATTCTGCTCTCATGGAACTTGATAAAGGTTCGAATTTTATATTTACTCTATTAAAAAATGATTCTTTTTTTCTTATTACAAAAGATTTAAACTTTTAGGTTTACGATCCACTAAAATTGGAGAGCAATGTGAAGCTATTGTTCGGTTTCCAAGACTGTTTGAAAAATATCCTTTTCCTATTTTAATCAACTCATCTCTCTTGAAATTAGCTGATGTGTTCAGAGTAGGAAGTAACTTCTTAAGAGTATGGGTTTTACGAGTCTGTCAACAAACCGATAAACACTTGGACAAGATTCTTAATGTTGACGAATTTGTAAAAAGAATTTATAGTGTGATGCATTCCAATGACCCAGTGGCTAAAGCATTGACTCTTCGTACTTTAGGAAGCGTTGCAAGAATAATACCAGAGAGAAAGCATGTAAGCATTCAAAATGAAATGCAGTTTATAAAAATCAAATTATTAACAATATTTTTAAATTACAGGTTCATCACAGCATCAGAAGAGCTATGGACTGTCATGATTTGGTGCAAGTTGAAGCAGCTATTTATGCAGCACAAATGTTTGCTGCTCAGTCAAAACAATTTGCCATTTTTATGTGTAGTAAAATCTCAGACATGATAAAAGGTCAATCAACTCCAGCATCAATGAAATTGCAGTTGATACCAATTTTACAGTATATGCATCATGATATTTCCACAGCTTCTATGGTATATTATTTACTACTTCTCACATTTCTTTAATTATTAATTTAAAATGAGTATTACAAATTCTCCTATTTATTTTTTAGGCTAATGAATTATGTTTAGAGCTCTTACAAAGCTATCCAGCAGCAGAATTTGTTAAAGTGACACTAAGTGCTTCAACCACTTTAGCATCTGCAACTTTGATTAATGTATCAGCACAAGTGACATTGTTAATTAAATATTTAGTTGAAGATCCAAGATTATCAATTAAGACTCATGCATTGTCCTTGTTACATACACTAGCTAAAAATGGAGCACACTTATGGCCCCAAGCAGCTGTAGCACAATTGATAGGTAATTACTTTATTTTTAATTTTTATAAATCAATTTAATGATCACAATAACAATAATCATCAATTTCTTTAGATAATACAGACAAACTTTTGAAAAATAACTCTACCAATAAATATTTACTTATAAAATCATTGCAAGTCATTGAGGTTCTGAGCGAAAGTCCTGTTATTTGTGAATCTAATATGGATGAAGGAAATGCACTTGTAATTTTATGTTCAAATGCTTGTTATTCTCCTAATCCCATCATTGCTGTAAAAGCTGTAACAATATTAGCCCGGCTGGCTTGTTACTGGTGAGTATATAATTAATCTATTTAAAAAAATTATAGACAAAGTCCTAATTTGAATTTCTTTTTCAGTTATGAAGAAAATTTACCAGTATACTGCATTCAAGATTTGGTTGCCTCTTTAGAATCTTTAGTAACTCTTTTATCTTTGGATGACAAGTACCTGTATCAATTAAAAGTATGCTTAAAAATGATTGTTAAACTTTGTCAAGCTCAACATAGTCATTGCAGTAACTTTGTTGATGCAATATGTTCAACGCTAATGAACACAAGTGATAGTGACAAACAGAGCTCAAATCAAGAAGTTGCTCTATGTGAAGCCCTTGGTGCAATTGGTGGTCTAAAAGAAGACATTCTACTTCCTCTTTTACCAGAAATTTTAAATAAACTACAACATACATCTCATGAACACACCAAAGTCATGCTGTGTACTTTACTTTTTCAACTAGTTGCTGGTGGGTTTGATTGGAATGCTGAATGTCTGGAGGTTATTGATATGACAGTCAAATCTGTAAATGACTGGAATAAATATAGAATAGCTCGGAATGCTACCAGATATGGGCATCATAGAATCGCAATGCAACTATTTAAAATTTTAAAAGAAACTGTAGCATCTGAGCAACACCACTTTTGGTTATTAGGATTAGAGCTGATGTCAAGTGCAGAAAACTACTTAATGTAATTTTACCTCCTAAATGAATTTAAACGTTCAATTTAATGATACTTTGATTTAACATTGAAATTATTATTGTAGAGATGATTCCTTGAATGCTGGAAAAAATGCCACAATTGCAAAATTAAATGGTGCTATATCTCTGTACTCCAGTGCTTGTGCATCATTCAAAGCTGCTGGAACACATCAGCAAAACTTACAATTCGCATGTGATTATTCAAAATTACGTGGTGAGTTTTTACAAGTTTTGCTGCAGCTCATACACAATTGCAGGGCTTTGTGGACTGCCCCGCCATTCGCTATTGCCTCGCAAGAAGCTTTAGCCCAAGGAGATGAGTACTATAGGTGTGGTCGTGCTTCAACTCAGGTACATATAAGAGAATTGTAAAAGCTTTATTGTTAAAGAATTTGATTATTTTTTCTTTGTTTTTATATAATTTGTTGCTCTAAATAAAATGACTATTTATTTCAGTTACGAAAATCGGTCGTTGAGCTACAAACTTTGGCAGAAAATTATGAAAAGTTATATCAAACGGCTTTCGATGCTGATCCCGGCTCATTGAGCAATTTAAAAGCGTATCCTTTAATGAAAAATATTTCAGTTAGAACTTGCAATTAATTTCGATTAATCAATATTTTCCCTTGACTAACCATGAATAGTAATCAAGAGTTGTGCCTTCTACTGGCTCAAAGTGTGCATGGAATTTGCGGAGGCCCAGCACCACCAACCGTTGACTCCATGTTTAATTTCGGAAATACAATCGAGCTGCGTCAATTCTCGCGATGCTGCTTTCAACTGAGCGATTTGGCTCCAAGCGTGAACGGCAGCAGCGCGAGTTGTGGTGCAACTCAAATGGATCTACTGAGAACAGCGAACATAGTTGAACAGATCGGAGTGCTGACTTCAGGCAAATTAAGGCTGCCGATTCCTCGATTCTTTTACCAGACAATACAATCTACTAGCATCAAATTGTCAGTCGCTCCACAGCCAAAGGTTGTCAATGAACCGCTTTCGGTTCCTCAAGGCAGCCAATTAGCTCTCAAAGTCGAGGGTGTTCTCAGACATGGCAAGCGAGCCTCACTTTACCGGTCTGTTGCTGCTATTGTGGTATCAATAACAGCTGCTACACAGATAAAATCCAGTAGTGAACCAAAGGTAAGGGAAATTATTCAAATGAATTTTAATAATGAGATTGAAAAATTAATCAATGAATCATATTTATAGGAACAAATCATTACCCAACTCGAACAGACTGTTGTGCCGCATCGTGACTTCTTTGCTTGTGAATTTTTGCTCTCTTTGGCCCAACCGAACGCGTGTTCATTAACGGTCAACAACGGTGGCAATTACAATGTGACGACCACTACTAATATTGTTGATGAAAGTGGTAATGTGTGGAAAAGTGGACCGCAAAGTGTTTTACAAGTACGCGTTCAAGATGAACCCTCGAGAAAAAAATTCGTTTAATAGTAGGTTATCATAAAATATTATTTGATTTATTCATATAAGTATAAAATATAAATATAACTGTTATTTACATGATCCGATAATTGTTGATAATTGATTTGTACTTTAAATACATAAAAGTGCACATAAATAATACTTTTATAGATAAGTTTTTATGTTTGACATTTTGTTTTAAGAAGTATGATTATTAGTTGAAAATTTTTTGTGATAATCTCCTCGTTGACCACCAGTTTTTGATACCAACTCGATACCATTTATTTGCATGCTGTGTGATAAATCTGCTGCTTTGCACATATCATAAACTGTGAGAGCTGCAATGCTAACAGCTGTTAATGCTTCCATTTCTACTCCAGTCTTTCCACTGCATTTTACCTCTGATCTTATTTCAACTGTATAAGAAGTTTGATTCAAATTTAAGTCAACTTTTACATTATTTAATAATAATGAATGACACAGGGGTATTAAATCGGATGTTTTTTTAGCGGCCAAAATGCCAGCTAATTGAGCAATTGTTAAAACATCTCCCTTTTTTATATTGTTTTCTTCAATTAGCTTTGTAATTTTTGGTCCAACATATATAAACCCTTGAGCTTGCGCTGTGCGATGAGTTATATTTTTATTTCCTACATCTACCATTGATGCTTTACCACTGTCATTTACATGTGTTAATGAGCTACATAATCTAATATTATGCTGTTGCACTGAAGCTAACTGTGTCAAAATACTAAATAAATAACTTTGTTTTCCAGGTACCATACTTTTATAGTTTTTTGTTTGGAAGTTTGCTAAAAATAGTGAAGTATTAACTATGTGCGTAAAAAAATATATAAATTCTGTTTAATTGTACCAAAACTTTAGAAATTCAATAAAATAACATGCATTACAACAAAACAAGATCCATCCAAATTTAACCACCAATAAGAATCATTGGTCTGTTTTCCATATGACTAAGATTGAGCATGCCTGAAACAGGATATAAAATTCAAACTAAAAAGAAATCTTTTATAGAAATGTGAATAAACAAAGTAAAAACCTTTCATTCAAATAAAAATATTTACTATGAATAAAAGGTTTTTCCCTTGTCTATAAATTGATGGATAGATGTTTTGTTGTATATGAAAGATTCAATTTTTTAAGATTATTATAATGTACCTGCATGTTGTTTCTTTTTTTTAAGTACTGCATTTTGTATTATACTTTTAAGTTCTTCATTTGAACAACCGTTTCTCAAAGCATTTCTTAAAGATATTTCATTTTTGCCTTCAAAAAGACACACCTTAAGATTACCATCGGCTGTTATTCTTAACCGATTACAAGAACTGCAGAAGTTTTGTGTCATTGATGTTATGAAACCAATTTGACCCTTGAACCCTGGTACATGATAAGCCTACAAAATTAATAAGGTTTTTAGTATTTTGATTCTATCTAATTTTAAATAGTTACATTGATATTTACTTTAGAAGTATCATTGGGTTTATCTGCGAGTCTTTGAAACTCTGGATACTTTTTTCTAATAATTTTTTTCATCTCTAAAAAAGGTACCATTTTTTTGGTATTCCATTCATTACCAGAGAATGGCATGTATTCAATAAATCTTACATCTACTGGTCTATCTTTAGTAAATTGTACAAAATCAACTAATTCATCATCATTGAAATCACGCATTATCACAGTATTAATCTGAAAAATATTAATATATTTGATGAATTGAGAAATATCTTGATTGATTATATTTTACTTTTGAATTTTTTGTACTGTACTTTTAAGGGATTATATCCCAATTGAATAGCTAAATCAATTGAGGCTAAAACTTTAGTCCATCCTCTTCTCAATGTAAATTTTTCAAAGCGTTCAGGTTTCAAAGTATCTAAAGAAATATTTAATAGATCTAAGCCAGCCCTTTGCAAAGAAGGCAACATTCTAGTCAAAGCAATACCATTAGTAGTCATAGCTAAAGTTTCTAAACCTCTGATGTCTTTTAATCTAGCTGAATTATATAATTTTTTGATTTAATTTAATATTAGTATAAGATTAATTTTATAATGGTAAATAACATACAGATAATTTCATGAATGTCTTTTCTAACTGTGGGTTCTCCTCCTGTTAGTCTAATTTTATTTACTCCTGCATCAATAAAATATTTTGACAGCTGTATAATTTCATCAGTACTAAGTATTTTGTCCTTTTTGGTAAGTGGGACTCCATTGGCTGGCATGCAGTAAGTACCTAAAAATAGTTTAATTCAATAGAATATAGAAACTTTACATTTATTGAACTTACATCTCAAATTACACCTCTCTGTCAAAGAAATTCTAAGATACGTATGTTGGCGACCAAATGAATCCATGAGTATTGGTACATCTTTATTACTACTCAACTTTTCTCTGAATTCTTCTAACTATAAAATTATGTTTGTAATGAGAATTGTTCATATTAAAAAATATAAATAAAAATCTTACTCTGTTTGATTGTTTGGTAGCCAAACTACTCATGTAGTATTTGAAATACTGAGCAGTATTAGCTTTATTTATATTCTTCAACATAATGTTAAACTTGAAATGTACAATACAACAAATAAAAAAAAGGAATACGTCGTAATTTATTTTAAACTAATACATAATAACAAAAGCGTTATAATAGCACGTTCAGAAGCGTGTCAGCTGCTACAGCTGAATATTAAATTCTTATCAAAGCTTATCATTACATATCTCATATCTATAAAAAAATCTCGTAACATACATAATAAATACGTTCGCAAGAATATACGACAGACGGACCGTCACTGTGACAAACATTAAGTATTTATTTACGGGAGCGCAATTTAAATCTTCATTCATAATTTTAAAAAATATGCAATTCGAAGAAATGGTGTTTTGAATGAAAAATTCGGGTAATTTATCTGCTCAGTATTATCCATCGCAAAATAAATTGTTTCATTGGTCCGGTCGTAGAAAAGTTTTATAAGACCTATTATTTAAATTTTATTAATTTTTTAAACTCAGCGCAAAAACAATAAATAATGTTGTCAGAAATTTTTTGTTCAAATGAAACAAGATTTTAAAACTTTGTTTCTTAATTATCAAAAAGTTACTCTCTATTTTACCAGAAACTCGCAATGTTCGAAAAAGTTATAAAATTTGTTTTTAAAAATTTCGAACATTAAATATTCAAAAGAAACAAGAAAATCGGAGGCATTTTGCAACAACGCGCGCAGTTCGTAACGTTATAGGCAGTATTCGTGCACCAATTCGAACCGTTGGTAAGACAGATCATAGCCGTTGACCGCAACGGGTTATATCATTAGCAATAAGTGAACCGTGGAGAAATTAAAAATTTCACGAGCTCTGAAACCAAATCATAAAAGATATCCGCGCATAGTGGTGTTGTTCCGTTTTTTTCTCCATACAGTCCCTGGAGTGCGTGCAAATAAGAGAGCGTGTGCGAACTGCGAGCGCACCATAGAAAGCCGCGTACAGCGCCAGCCATCGGCCGGAGCGAATTTATTGTCATTTGGCGTTGACTTTACCGTGGCTCGCTGCTGCTACTGCTACTACTGCTGCTGCTGTTGCTGCCGCCGCCGCCGCTGCGCTAAGCGTATATAAAACTCGTTTCTGCCCGTCTATCTCTGTCTCGCGAGTCGAACTTTGCGCTCAACATACATACATATTTGAGGTGTATACGAATAGGTCGTGCGTGTGTGGTGTGTGCCTGGCTGGTTGGCTCTGAGGGCCTCGAATCGTCGTACTCTGCGTGTGTCTCGGTGTGTGCGCGTGTATATTGCAACCCCTTCCATATTGCGCCACGCAGTTAGAGTGTTTCACGCCATTTTCTACGAAACTCACATTGCTTTGCGCGAGGAGCTCCGATCGAGGCAGCAGCTGCAGCAATATACACAATAACCCGACGATTTGCAGCATCGATTCCCATCAATTCTATTCCAAAGCATCATCCGAAATAGTGTGCAGTGTGTATACGCGTTAGAAGTATAGTGTGCATCCCGGCGAAGACATCATCATCTCTCTCTCTTTCCCTCCTTTATCGTTTTCTATCTCTCTCTTTTCTCTCCTGCTGGCAAACAACATAACTTCAATTTTTTTCTCAGTCTTTTTGCTACAGCTCGCTCGCTCTCTATATCATCTGAATCTCGGCTTTCTCTTCAGAGTTCAGACGCGCCACAGCTTATACACATAATACATATATATATACATCTATATATACACATATATAGATACCGAAAGGTATCGATAGTCCAATAGAGCTGTGAACGTATTAAAGCAGCTACCAAAAAGATCCATATTTTTCTCGTTGCTGAACTCGATATACAACATCTGTGCAATAGCATAGGACAACGTTAGATCATCTCTCGTGCGACGTGCGTTCGTCGAGTCGTGCCCTAGCTTTCTTCGTACAGCCAGAAAAACCTCGTTTATTTATCGTTTATACATCAGATAAACGCACAGCGTGATACAAGAAATCAGCGGAGTGTACATTTAAACTACTAAAAGATAGGTGTTTATACAAAGTCTGTGATATACATTAATATATTTAACAAATTATAATAATAAAAATACGGCGAACTATATACATATAAGGACGAACTTTAATAGTACGGTGAATATAGATATACAGATATACGTATTCAATACGCGAAGTATAGAATTTACGCAGACTCCTGTGTAATTTTTTTTCTTCTGGACGAATTTATAAATATTTCACGAATAACAAAAGTGTCGGCAACGAAAGTGAGAAGAAATAGAACATAATCATGTCCAGTAATACTGTGGAGGCTAGTAGCAACAACAAACAGTCTACTTCAACAGTTACTACTGCCCTTAGCAAGGAGGGTCAAACTAAACTTGATAAGGATGAGACCGAACCTGAGCCAGAGCAGGACAGGGAGAGGGAAACCCCAGGTGAGAATTACTTTCTTTGAGTATTATTTATTTGAATGAACTTTTTACTCATTGTATTTAACGGTACTTTTTGCATGGATTTTATGATTAAAAGTTCAATTTTTGTAAATCAGTATTTATTTTATAGTTATGAATGGGTAGTTACTGAATATTTGCTGAAATTTTCCAAATTCAAAAATTTTATTTCATTTATAAATTCTTAATTGTTATTTTGAGTCTAAAAAATTATTGGACTTTAAAATAAATATAAAGTGTCAAACTAACAATTCAGATCGTGTATTGCCAACTTATGTGGTTACCTCCTAATTGTTATGTACGAAAGAAAGTTGAAGCTTTTTTAGATGAATAAGAACATTTCATATGAGCTACATGTTAAAGTAATTTTTCAATTACTTAATTCTTGTTAATTTATAAAGAAAATGTAAGCATTACTTGTCCTGCAATGAAGCGATGCAAAGAAAGTTATAAATGAGTCATTATTTAATTTTTATAAAAAAAAATATTATTATATGCTTTGAAGTAACTAATATAGGTTATTGTTTTTACATTTAAATGGTCAAACTCAATATTTTTGGTATGGAGTATTATAAAAGTTTGAATTATAACCTAAAAATGTATGTATATTCAACTTTTTCACAATGGATTAATCTTATCAAAACAGCTCAGAAAAAAACACTCCACTGTTTTGTTTGTGTCAAAATGACTCATGAACCAACTGTATATTCTACAGACATGATTTCGTAAGTTTTTGAGTAAATCAAAGCTGCAGAACTTTATTATTAGTCAAAAAAATTGTACTCGTCTATAACCATTGCTCCCTAATTAGAGAAAATCAATTGCTCAATGAAAATTATTTTTGATTGTGTCAAGCTATTTAAATTGATACTCGCAGGCAAGGAGTAGTACAAATCGATAATTAATTGTAAAAAAAAGGAACGATAAATAAGATAGCAATAATGTAACCAAAGATATCGCATAATGCTATTTGAAAAATTAATATTATAAATAACCATGTTCGGCGAAGTCATGTTATTGTATCGTATCAATATCCATAGTAGCATTTTGAAGCTCGGACTAAAAGCAATCCCGAGCACGCATCGTTATCGATGATGCGTTTTAATGAATCGAGACTCTCGAAAATGAAATAATCTTACGGTTAAAGACCTATGTGCTGGCTTAAAATATGTGTGAGTGTACTTTATGCTGTGTGTATGTATAGAGTAATAAGACTCCGAAAGGAGATATGTTACATGCTCGCGTATTATTGTTTACATTCGGAGTCTAAGCTCAGACGTTCGTTACCTACTGCCCCTCCTCGTGGCTCTAAACGCGTACGATACAGCAAGTAATACATATACGTATACACGCACACACGAGTGCGACGCGCATTAGTATAATACAAAGTCAGATTTCGAAACTTTGATTCGAGATTCTTGATTGTAATGATAAAACTTTCCGTCTCTTTCGCTCTCTCTTCTGCAAGTTGGTCGATGTTTTTCCTCGAGCATCGAGCAACGCACGCGTACAGGTAGACGCGCGCGCGCGCGCCTGTGTGTGTATACACGCATTTTCCTCGGATTTTTCTTGCTAATTGTCGCGGCTGTGCGGACTCTCGTACTCGTATACGAGCACACGCACACACGCACGCGCGACCCAACTTTCCCGACCACTACTCGTTCTCCCTCTTAATAACTAATAAGCCAATAGTTTTGACGGTAGGCAACGTTTGCCGTCCGGCGTGCCGATTCACGCTCTCTGTCGTATCAATCGAATTTTGACTGTATTTTGAGCAAGTTCAAGCACGCCGCGCTTATTGAAAGGCTATTTATTCGATTGCTACTTAACGCTATTTTACGACGTTTATCTTTATAAGCGCATACCCAACGGAGCCGTGTTAGTTGCGAATCTCGCTACCCTTCGTTCACGACATAAAGGTATTTATTTCTCTGTGTTACAATTTAAAAAAAAAAAACGTGAGAAAATTAATTCACTCGGATCATCTTCCCTTCTATGACAACCGCGAAGACGTTTTCTTATAAACCGAAAGGAAAATCGACAGAGACTGCGAGATCCGTCGCGCAGCTTCTTCAACGGCATTTATAAGGAGCAACATTTTATTTAGCATCAGCATAGAGCAGCAGGCGTCAGAGCATATTAGCGATCCGTAAGACGGAGAGAGAGCCGATGCGATATTATAGTATAAGCAGAGTGTCCTTAGTCTGCTCTTCAAAGATATTTGAACATAAACAACGCGAGAGACAGTCCTATCTCTGTCCACGTTGTATACAGTATAATACATTGGAATAAAAATATTATAACGCTCTCGGCACGCCGCTATTATAATACAATTAAAATCACTCGCGTATTATATGTATTTATCATACATATAATAAACTGACAATTTCGTATTATAAAATCGAAATTCGGCAAATTTCGAGATCTATCACGTATATGAGATATACAGATTGTACACAGGAGCCATCGACGTTCTAAGTTAATAATTATTGTTCAGGAATCGATTCGATAAATTCAATTTCTCTCTCTCTTTCTTTCGGTTGTTTCGTTTTCACTTTTGTGTGCTGTTACCAACAAAACCGAAAGACTCTTCCAGAGCGAGGAAGCTTAAAACCTAATCTCGTGATCCTTAAAAATCATCCATCAGGTGTGTATTTCACTGAATAATTGTACAAACAAAGAAAAGATAAAAGATCTCTGAACGAGCAATGTCGATTGTTTTGTCTGCCCATCAAAGATTCGGACGAAAAAGTAAATCTAATAAAGTGGCTGTGAAAAAGTCGTCAAACGAGCGTCGCAAGAGCGTGCGCGTCAAAATGAGTCTGAAGCAAACGTCAAACGCCGTAGCAAACACACTCAGATTATTGAGCCTCATCCATCAGCGACCGCAGCTTCAGCATCAGCAGCAAGAAAAACAGCAACAGCAGCTTCAGTATCAACAGCAAGAAAATCAGCAACAGCAGGTAAACCGTCGGAAGCGCAAACGTCAGGGGAAACGACGTGCGCGGACGTCTGGTCAGCAGCAGCAGCAGCAGCAGCAGCAGCAGCAGCCGCAGCAACCGCAGCAAGAACAGCCGCAGCAGAAGAAGCAGCAGCAGAAAAAGCAACAGCGACACCGCCGACAACGACGTCGATCACGGGTCGGTCCAAGGGGTGCACCGAAGCTCGATTTGACCCTAGCTCAGCAAACCAAACCTTATCATAGGATTAAGCGTGCGGCTAAGGATCAACCCCGACCCATTAGCTGGCTCGCTTTTCGTAAGTCCTATCTGACGCGCCTCTGAGCTCGCACGATTCGAGCGCGTGCAAAAGCTCCCGCGGCCAAGCGACGAGTCAATCGAGCGCCAGTGTCCGTTTACACGTGTGTATGTGTGTGTGTTTATGTACGAATAGATTTACAAGTTAATGTTTATAGAAATTTTAACCATCGCTACTCGATCAATAGCTAAAGTATCATGTCTTGTAGGTATCCACATAAGTTGCTCGATTCAGTTAAGTTTCAGTATGCCTGTGACTATGTTTATGTATGAAAATTACGCGACGTACTGTATAATACAATGTTTACGACGATTCGTCAAATTTTGTATTACATACTTTACCATTGGTTTCAATACAGGAGACGACGCGATTATCTCTATGTCGATCGGCGGTGAAGTAACCGACGCCTCGATCGTCGAGGTTGGCCGCTCGAGACCTCAATACCAGTACAGCCGAGAGGAGCTCATGAAAATCAAGTTGCTACCCAGGTCCAATCGCAAACCCGACTGCCTTGATTCCAGCTATTTCAAGTGAGTAACAATACGCATGTTGTACATACTGACACATACACATTTACATCGATATCAACATCACACGCAAATGTTGTTGACGTTTCTTTCAATGATCTAATAATAACGAAATTCTAATTCAAAATCAACAGCGCCCGTGGGGTTTGGGACCCGGAACGCTGGCACGAGTCGCGTGGACGAAACGAGCGATCCGTCACCAGCTCGATGGTGTCCTCGAACACGTCCGGAATCGGCACGAACAGCGATGACAGCACAAAGCCGCGACGCAGTGGTGACCCTCGCGAGAGGATTCGCAAAGAACAGGACGGCATCGTCCTAAGTCCCCAACGTCGGAGCTTTAATTCTGGCTGCTTTGTTAACGTCACGGAGGCTAGCGCGACAACCGTCACCGTCAAGCGTTCAGTTAGCCCCATCGGCAAAGCTGACGTCAGACTGTCTGCAGAGGTATTAGTTATCTTCATAGACAATGACTAGATTGTAAAATTTTCTCAAATTTTTTCACGACAACTTTCTTTTCACAGCTGAGCCATCGTGACGCTACCAGGCGCATCGGGAGCGGGCGTATTCTCACTCGAGACCTCTCTCGTGACATGTGGGACTTCCGGAGTGACGCTGAAAAGCATGAATCGGATTACGGCTACAGATCGAGCGATCGTGATCGCGACCGAAACATCGGTGGTGGATTGCGTGATCGCGATCGTGATCGAGATCGCGATGATCGCTTTGAAAGGCGTTCCTTTGGTCGCGATTACGACCGTGCCGGAGATCGTGCAGGAGATCGTGATCGTCTCGACCGTAACGACAGGGACAAGGATCGGCGAGAACGTCGAAGGTAAGTTTACGCATTCAGATTTATCTAACTTGCAGCAACGCGCGATGTTCATGCGACTTTCCTGTCTCGACAGCTACGGCGATCGCGATCGTGACCGTGATCGTGATCGTCGCCGTACTTTCAGTGATAACCGTGATGAAGAGCCTGAGTGGTTCAGTTCAGGACCGACTTCTCAACACGACACCATTGAATTGCGTGGTTTTGACGACATACCAGAGGAAAAGTCTATCTCGTCTTCTGCTAAGAACAAAAAACAATCGCCTGCCCAGAAAAAGCGCAACAAAAAGATAACTTATGAAAAAGAGGAAAAAGCTGCTGCTGCGGCTGCGGCTGCAGCTGCGGCCGCTGCTGCCGCCTCCACTGCTCCGTCTCAAGGGACAGCCAATAACAAACACGATGGCGGTACTGGTGGTATCAAAGGTCGTAATACACCAACATCTTTGGATAACTCGTCTTCAACTGCTGCGGCACACTCACCTGTTTCGAAGCAAGACGATTCTAACAGCCAGAAAGAAAAGTCGAATGATTCAAGCAAAGTGTCTAATGCTTCTTCCGAAGCAGCTTCAGCTGATTCTGATAAAAAAGACTTCAAAGATAACAACTTCAATCTCGAAGAGTTCCTCCAAGCTGATACTGTGGACCTTCTTTCTGTAATTATAATATTTCAAAAATTAATTTTGTATACCATGTCTTTATGTAATCTCCTTTTTGGATTATCCATTTCAGAACGGGGCTGGAGCAGGTGAAAAGTCGGGTTCGCGTTTCAGTCAGTGGTTCCAGCGAGAAAGTCCGCCGCTGTCAAATCAACAAAACCAACAAATGGACCCTATGCGGTCCTCTATTCAAGAAGAACTTCTGAATAATTTGCTCAACGATTCATCTGAGAAAATACCATCGGTGACTGAATCTAGTGCTTTCTTTGCTCCAATCGCACCAGCTGCCAATACTCCTGCCATGTCTCAGCATCGTCATTCTCAACAACCATCAGATGGTACAGGATTTAAATTGCTTGAAATGTTGCAAAGAAATAATAAGCCTAGTCAAAATGGTCAAGGTGATGCAGCAGGAAACAATCTTATGTCCATGCTTAATAAGAATCCACCCAAAGAAATGGGTATGTTTATATAAAATGTTTATATGAAATGGTAAAATACTATTCACGCAATGATTGTTATTCTTTTTTTGTAGGTGGTGGAGCTAAGAAGATTGTTAGTCTTGAGGAATTAGAAGCTCGAATGCGAGGCGGTATGCCTTCACAACAGTCTGAGCCACCGAAACCAAATAAATCCAAAGAAGATATGACTGCTTTCAAAAAATTGGTATGCTACGCCACTAAGTTGCTTAAATAGTATTTTTATTTTCAATTATAATTAAAAATTCCTTTATCATTGATTATTTATGCTAATAGCTTGCTCAAGTAAGTGGTGGACAAGCAGTACCTGCAACTAATGGCCCAGGTCCTCAGCAAAAACATCAGATGCCTCCTCAAAATATTCAACCCATGACTTTGATGCAGGTAAGAGACCACCATTTTATGCATCATGTATTTCGTTATCGATAACTGAAAAAAAATTAAATAATTTAATTTTTCCATCGAAAAATATTCACAAATTAATATTTACTCACTTCCAATATATGACATGCAATTAAGTCTACATTCAATATACGTGTTGAATCCATACGTTTCTGGCATCTCTTGTGATAAGAAGTCCTCGCATTTATTTTCATCTTGCAAGTATTTATAAAATGTGTGTTCATCGTTGTCCTCTCGAAAATTCTGATGTCGACCGGTGCGGAGGTCACTAGGGGGTGTATTGCATCGTGGATTTGGATGTGTTGGTTTCTCATATATTGCCGCAGAAAACGGATTAGCTATAACATTAATATTTCATAGAAAAATTTTCTACGTTCTTTGAAGAATGATTAGTTGATCATACCTGCTTGTACACTATTAAGAAGATTCTGATAGAAAAAAATGAAAAATGAAAATATAATAATATTCATTTTGTTTTTCTTATTTATTAAAAATTATAAATATTTCCAAGTGAAATTTAAAATTATAATACAATAGCTTTGTGCAACTACTTGCAGTAATTCTGAAATTAAACTATATCGTAACTAGCGAATATATAATGGAAGTGAGGCATTTTAATGACGTTATAAAATGAAAATAAAATTCTTGATCACGACATAGCTCACGTTGTTCAAAACTTTATATAATAACAATTTTATCATATTTCAGCTTTTGAATTCTCAAATGAAAAATCCTCAACCACCAGTAATGACACCTCAGCAAGTAGCCCGCTCACCGTCCGAGCCTCCTATGCCAGTACCACAATCATTCAACCATGTAGGTCCCTTGGGACCGGTACAAAATCATCATCAATCTCAAATGCAGCATGAAAATCTGATGAAAGTACTGCATATTCAACAACAGCAACAACAGCAACATCAACATCAACATCAACATCAACATCAACAAAAACAACGACAGCATAATGAAATGTTGTCAATGATGATGCAAAATGCAGCACAGCAGCAGCAGCAACAACATCACCAGAGAATGATTGGCGCTAGTCCCTTACCACCTGATATACAAATGTTAGTTAATAATGCTTCAGTAACAAGAGAACTGTTGGCTAGACCTGAAGCTGAAGCTATTATCACTGGTATGCATCGAGGTGAAATAACTAGGCAACATCTTGTTCAGCAACTACAAGTAAATTTGTTTCCTTATCTAAATGAAAATGATAATTTCGATATCAAATAAAATATTTTAATTTTCAGCAAAATCCTGCTATGCAGCACCGTCACAGAGAAGTTTTGGCTAGTATTCTAAAAATCCATGGTGGTATGACACCACGTACTACTAGTCCTCATTCAAATGCTCCTATGCCTCAAGATCCAATGTTGCAACAAATGATTTATCAACAACAGCAGAGGATGACGTCACCATTGAATAACAGTATGTTAAATTCAATTACTTTGGATATCTCATTTCTTTGCATCATATTTTATCTCTCTGAGTGCTATCAAATTGATAATTATATTATTTTTTATAGTGATGGGTGCTCGTGTACCATCGCCGCGAGAATTAGTAGCCCACTCTCAGAATATACTACAAAATGCTTTGATGAAGAAAAAGTTGGAAGAACAAAACTATCGTAAACGTCAAGACCTACACCCGTCAGGGCCAAATCCTTCGGCCAATCCACAAAGATCTGCTACTCCAGTAAATATTCCAGCTAAGCCATCAATCAGTCCAACGCCGTTAGCATTCACACCAACTTCGGTGTTAAGGAAAATGACTGCTGACAAGGAACCAGAGGGTCAGATGCTCACCTGCGATCAACTTGAAACAGCTCCATCAAGTACAGTTGACACAGCCGATAAAACCGAGCTTCCCTCGGAAACAAATGATAACACGAAAAATGTGCATCCTGTGGCGACTGAACTTGATAAAGAGCCTGCATTGAAATCGAAGCATAAAAGCAATAACGCGCCCGAAAAGTCGGATGATACTGTCGATAAAACTGTTGATAGTTCTACCGCTCCTTCGAATGAGCATCACGTATGGTTTTCCAATAAAGTGACAGTCGTTGAACTTGACAAAACAGTCGCGGATGAAAACAATAATAACACTCAAATTATCAGAAGAAGTGAAAATGAGCCTAATAACAACGTATATCAAATTTCTATCGCGGATATTGATTAAATTTTTTTTATATTGGAGGACAATAATTTTCAAACATGGTTTGAATTTTGTTCGAAACGTTGATTGTCATGAGAAAACTTACTTGGTTTATTTAACTTAAACTTTCACTAATTTAGCGACTTCTTTACTTCACTTTCTTTAGCATTATTATCATTGAACAAAAAATCATTCTTTGTTAATGGTACAGAACTGTTACACTTCCATTGAAAAAGATTCAATTACGATTGCATATGCTTCGATTTCAAATGCCAAGAATTATAAATACTTTCTACTTAGATATAATTAAGCCTTTGCTCTATTCTATTGCATTTAGTACTCAAAAAATGGTATTTATTTTTCTTGTAAAATGTTGAAAAGTAGTGTAGTTTGCTAGCCAGTAGGATTGCGCAATTGTTTATATACTTCTTTGCTCTGGTAGTATTTGAAACACAAGAGAAAAAACGTACTCAAAATACGATTGTCGCAAAACACCGATAACGATATCTTTTTAAAAAAAATTTTTAATGAAAAGAAAAAAAAGGATCGGTTACGACCGAATTCAATTTTCAAGTTAATTTGAGTCAAGATAACGCTCTGTGGGCGTTCAACAGACATTGCTTAGCGTGCACTTGTGGTTCTTTAATCTTTGATAGATTTTACAATAAACTACTTTTGCTTGTAAATAACACCTTTCCTACGCAATTTTCCCTTCTCTTGCTTTATTACTGTATTTTATGTATGCTACTTTGTGTGTTCTGTCTGCTTTAACTCTATGCTTATTAAACGTACTGATGTTTCTTTGCTCGATTATGGATGAAAGTTTGAATCACAGATACAACTCTTTTGGGCTGTGCATTGTAGCTCTAACTTTAGTAAGGACTATTTTGCAATATTTTAGGTAAGTTTTTGAAAAGATAAAAGACAAATTAAGCGCGACTTGATTAGGTGCGTGTTAATGCCACTATCCACAAATGCGATTGAAAATCGCTGCTTGGTTTATAAGTTCTTTTTCCGTATCCTCCTACTTATTTTGGCTTCTCGTGAAAATCCCCATTGTATCATAAGACAAGTGAATGAGCCTGTGTGTCTGGTCAACAGTATCAGCAGTTGGATGTGGGTTGCAAGATGTTATTAAACTGCCGACCCCACAGCATCAACAGCAAATGCTCGCTCAGTTAGCACGGCAGCATCCAATGCAACAGCGGCCAGCTGGTACGCCTTCTGGTCAGCAACCGCCTTTGCCACCACCATCACAGCCACAACAACCGCCAAAACAACAACCACCACAACCACAGCAACAGCTATCCAACTGGGCTGTTGGTCCTAATTCTCAAATCAAGCAACATCCTGGTAACCCCCCACGATTATTTAAGACATTTGTGTGAACTTATTTCAGTTTGTCAACACATCTGTTTCACCTACCAAGCTTTAACTATTTTAACTCCCTGTTGTTTTATTTTGATGTAAATATTAGTCATCTCTCACTAATTTAATCTTTGCTTCCATCTCGAGCTTATAATTCGCACTATTTCCACAGAAACGTTATTGTTGATAATCGCCTACAGTTCGTTTTGAAACTCGAATTCAAGAACTTTTTAAACTATATATTAAAATGAAAGTTCTATTTTTGTATATATTTTAAAAGTTTGCAAGTAAAACTGTTATTGTACCACAGCGGAGAATTTTCATACATATTTTATATACTCTATCTCTATTTTATTTCGTTTATGAATGGTTTTTATTATTATGATTAACCCATTATCTATTTGGTGAAAAAGAAACTTGTTAGTAGATACATAATATAAGCTTAATTTAAAAATCAAATGAATTGGGTTACTTCTTGCATCTAGCGGTTTATTTACTTTGAAAAATTTACATTTCGCAGGTCGACCGATCGTCAAAGGAAGTACATCGTCACAGATGTCGCAAGCACAAGGACCTCAACAACAGCAACAGCAGTCAATGCCCTCGCAATTTCCGTATGAATTCTCACAACAGCAGCAGCAACAACAACAACAACAACAACAACAACAACAACAGCAACAGCAACAGCAACAACAACAACAGCAACAGCGTAACCCTCAAGGCATATTTGGTAGCAACGTGCGATCAAAACACACCTTGCCACCCCAACAACCACAGTTCCCACCTCAGCAATCGAATCATCAACGAGCGCCACAGCAACAACCAGCGCAAGTTGATTCAATTAAACAGATGCAGCGTATAAGTATGCAAATGCAAGAGGAACTAGTTATTCAACAACAACAGCAGCAACAGATGAGAATTAATAGTCAGCAAAATGTGAGACAAGAATTTCATTCGAGACAAGGTAAGAAGCAATACTATGCCTTTGCTTGAGTTTGTTTCATTGCATTGAATAAAAAATTAAAACTTTTTTTATTGTACTTATGCTTTATTTTTTATTAATGTTTAATTTTGCGCTTTACAGGAATAATAATGCAAATGAATTCTTTAGCACGCAACACGTCTAAATAACAAGATCCTCTTACCTGTTCACTTAACTATTCCTACACTTCGCTTATTTAAGTAAACAATTTTATTTAATTTTGCCATTTTTAAGAGTAAAATTGGAATTATTTAATTTTTAACTAAATACCAGAGCTAATGTAGATGTGACAGTTTTCATACTTATTTTCTGAGATCTATCCGTATATTTTTTAACAAGGCGACATTACTGACTATCTAAAACTAAAGTAAAGATGTATAAGTTCTTTGTTAAAAAAATATTCGGTGCAAATCTCATAGAGTATGCTTGAAAATTGTATTTTTATATTAGTTTAGGTATCTTGAATTCACCTATTTTTTTATTTTCTATTTCTATTCCAACTATGCTCTCCTATAATAATATCTATGAAAAGCTTTTAAGTTCTTCTTCAATTTGTTTAATTTAACAATATAAACTTGATACAATTGAAATGCATGCATCAATATACTTTGAAAAAAATTGTTTCGATCAATAATTTAAATTAATATTACATTTATTATATTTACAGATAATAGACCAATGCGCCCGCAACAATTGAATATTTCAATCAATCGAAATCAGAATTCAGCTCTGTCGAATTTCTTGGGTGGCAGTGGAAATGGAAATGGTGGAGACTTGTCACCTACCTCAAATCAATTAGCTCGTTGGTTCAGTCCAGAACTACTCGCTCAAGCTCGGGCTGGAAAATTGCCCGAGCTTCAACCTTCCAACGTGTTATCTCTTGAGGAACTCGAACGATTGCAACATGCATCAACAACAGTACACAATTGAAACAATGTTCTATTTTAGTAGTTTTTTTGCAAATAGTTCTATGTGACTGGTAGCGAGATATTCTGTAAAACGTTTATTGTATTAAGTTGAATTGGATGAGAGGTTATAAATAATGTTGAAAACGAATCGATCGTGAAGTTCCAGTGTTGTTGAAGAGTAAAATAATTCTGTTTTTGATTATTCAATTTATATCTACATTGAAAAATTGGAAAAATTGGACTTAAAAATGTCCTCCACCGACAACACATTCCTGACTTTTGCAGATGTATCATATTGTTGTAGTTAATTTGTGCGAAAAAAAATTTAGATTGTTATAGCAACGCTATGTTGGATAAACAAACCATTTTAAATACTTGCTTTTGTAATGATAATATTTTTGCCAGAGAGTTTTAATATAAGTTGAACATTTTTATAAAAACGTCTCTCTTTTAATTTATAACTCACGAAAAAAATGTTATACTATCGAATACACTTGAGTACAATATCTCGCTTTCAATCGCATACTTATGCAGTTGGCTAAAATTTGTATTTATCATAATATGAAGAGTTTATCAACTCGTAAAATATTTCATTGAAAAATTTAAAAGGGACTCTAAGGTACAAACATAAAATTCAAGCAAGAAAAAATTGTTAGACGATCTTGCAATAATTCTTTGAGTATTCATGAATATTACGGAAAATAGTAAGACTGAACTGATTGACATTTTCTGAATTATATCGTTAATGCATACACTATACTCTAGTACAAAATTGAACGCGTATTTCATTAAGCTTTTGAAATATGAAAATTGAAACTTGAGTTGATTCAAGAAAACTTATTAGTTCCTTGAGAATAAAATCAAGTTATATTATTTTTTTTTTAACTTGATTTTATCTGAGTATCATTTTTTTATTCCACGGTTTATGAACCATTGGTAAATTTTGATATACTCTATAACTGGCGCGTAAAAATATTTACATGGCATGTATATTATTACTATAGGCTCAAATACTAATTTCAAAAAAAAATATGAGTCCTAAACGATAGAGCTAGTTGAAGGGTAATTAATACGCAATGAATTTAAAAATGGTTTTATATAATTTTCAAAGGTTATCGCAGAAGGTGTGCGTATGCTTATAAACATATTCGGAAGTTATTCTTTACTTAAAAATACGATTCAATTTACTTGCGACTCGGTCATCTACTGAAGTTGAAGTTTATGTAGTACGTTTTTCTCGAGAATCAGTGCTAGTTAATATTACAGCAAACTGAGAAACATACTGCCTCAAATTAGTTATAAACGTATAATAAAATCACCTTCATTGCCATACTTTTTCAACTTTTTTTGATAGATTTACATCTTTTTAATGGACTTTCTAATAGAAAAGCTTACATTTTATAACAAAAGATGATAAATCTTTTGAATAGAAAAAATTCGTTTTAGTAATTGAGTATGTGCTTGTAATTAAAATGTATTTGGGATGTAATTAAAAATCTTCATGTTTCATAAATAAGTATTATCGCGTATGAAAAGCAATTATCATAACTTATCGAAAAAGATAAAAGAAGCAAACATGACGATCGAAAATTTATGAGTACCCCCATTGAAATTCGTTGATCAAAATTACTACTACGCGTAAATTACAAAAAACAACGGTTTATCACCGAAAAAGTGGAACTCAACGTGCTTGATTATTGTTTTTCCACTGATTAAAACTGTATGAACGTTTACGTTCTTACAAATGATGATGTGAATGAAAGAGGAAAATTTGTGAACGATATAAGAAAATTTGTTGCGTTGTACTATTCGTAATGATTGCGAATGAAAAACAAATTTTAATCGTTGAGTGACAATGATTTTTTCAAATAGAGCACGCATTTTTTTTTTGATAATTAACATTGATGATTTGAAAGCCTCGCTGAGAGCGACATTTCTTGCTCGACTGTAAAAATGAAGGGTTGAAACAATGAGCGGGAGAAATTAATTTAACGGAGGAGTAAGTTGAAAATGACGACAAACCTGATAAGCTTAAGCTACTTTTTTTCTCGAATATTACTGTTTTCTTGAAAAAAGTTAATTTTTGTAAATAATGACTATTGAAAACAGAACGAAAAACCGATGAGATTCGAGGGAAGATAAAAATAAAAACTATGAAATTCATTAGTTCTTATATAAATTTAAGTCGAAGAATTTTTGTAAATAAAAGTTGCTAAACGAGAAACTAATGAATTGAAAGAAAGAACAAAATAAAAGAATGCAACGCAATTGTCATGTCGACGATAATGTTATCGAAAAGAAAGAAAAAATAAAGCGACGACAAAAAATCAATCAGACGTTGTGTTGTGTATCATTCATTTCGCGCCGCTTGCGCGTGCTGGTCTCCGATAGTCAGCGCCAGAGGACGCGCCGACTCGCTACATTTCCGATCCATTTTAGCTCTTTCCGCAGCCTCGCGTCATTCGTTCAAGAACTGGCGTGGAGAATGCATCTCGCGTGTCGACGCTGAGAGACTCATGGCCAGCTCTCGTATCGTGCCCAACTTGTGCTTCGTTCGTCGCTCAACCACTATTCCTCAGATTCGCCATCCAATATCTAGTTACATGTTATTCTTTTACATGACATAATAAACCAATAAATCAGCTGCATGCGTCAACTTTTTTCGAATCTACTATGCCAATCCCAGTGCAATCGATACCACAACATATAAACTATCTGTAATAGGCTCGGAAACGTAAGTGTACAGGAGCGATGACTCCAAAATATATCTTATGCGCTAAGGCTATTTTTTAACGGGAGCCTTGATTCCAAGTAAACTTTCGAGTTTTCGTTTCGTTTATTGTTAGAATTTTAAGCTACACTTCTAATCGCATGTCGCAATCGAGCCATCGGCAAAGTAAATCCACGTAGTGTACAAAGAGCCAAGTGGCAAGTTTTGCGTCGATGCCTCGCGAATGCGCCTCGTAGGTGTTGTTTTCGAACGTCGAGCAGCAACGCACAGCTGAACGTGAATTCTCGTGCTTCCCGATGAGAGAAACCACCGCTGAAAAGGCAATTTTACGTGCGTGCGTGTATGTGTGCCTCAGCAGTTTCAGGGAAGTCGTCGTCGTCGTCGCAGCGCCACGACGTCCACCATGATGTTTTATTGTATATTCAATAGATATACACATATACATAATAGGTATACAGCTGATCCCTACATCAGTTTGGAGTATTCGTAGCGGATTCGCCATCGGACTGGCGCGGCTAGCGAATAAACTACTCGATCGCCTTTGCTCGTCCTACACTGCGCTTATTATTATAGTCGCTGCGTAGTTCGTAAGGCTCTTGTGGGGAACTCTTCGGAAGGCTACGTCGTCGTCGTTGTCGTTGTCGTCGTCGTCGTTATTGTTGACTGGCTGCCGTCTATGTAGCTGCATTCGCGACTCGCCTTTGTCTCTCGGTAAGTATAATAAGCACGAAATCGAGTTGTAAATTGTGGCTGCCCAGTTCGAGTGCAACTCATACTTGTACACGTCGAAGAACAATAACGTCGGCTTGTGCAGAAGCAGCTGTACAACGAGAAATACTGTCTGTGTATCGGCGAGAAACCATAGTTTCTCGCTTTTTTTCGAGCAACGGAGGAAAATTCGCAGCATCGAGCACAGTTGCACGGGCACGGCCTATAATACGTATAAAAAAACTCGGCAGCAGCAACGAGAGTCGAAACCCGAACGAGTGTGCTGTACGTCTTCTCGTCATAGTCGCCGACCTCAGTAGAATTTTTACATTTGGAAATGATCAAAGCTGCCCAAGAGCGGTGAACAGATTAAGACGAATCTAGCGAGAGAGTGAAATTTTGTACAACGCAGCGTTTTCAAGGGAAATCGCGTGCGCGCGCCAATAAGTATACATTTAGAGGATGGCGCTTACATAGAGTTTGCCTGGTATTCTCAAAAACCCAGCAGCAGGCAGCAGTAGCAGCAGAAACAACAGCAGCAGCGACGTTATTGTCATCTTGTTTTATATATTCGTTAGACGAGGGAAAGGACGCTGTTGCCGCAGCCGCCACTGCCGCCGCCGTCGTCGTCGTCGTTCGTGGATCCTGCTGCTGCTGCCGCAGCCCAGACACAAGCCCACCAGAGCCAGGCAGCAGAGCGAGCGTGTCGATCATAGCATTTTCGACCAGGGAGCAGCCAGACGCAGACGAGTCTTCTCTAGCACACGGAGACCTTCCAAAGTCACATACATATACGCATTACGTACAATAAGCATAAGCGATCCTCGGGATTCTCTCGGCGCTACACACATATACGTTGTGGCTCTCTCTCTTTCTCTCTCTTTTCTATCTCTCTCGCCTTGCTGCGTGCACACACGGCTTACATACACTCGCACCGAGCACAACCGACTGGCAAGTGAGACAGAGAGACGTTATAGGCGGACACACGACGTATTGAGAGTAAAAGGCCATATTGCGCAACCAAAAAAGAAGTCTAGCATATTATAACCCGGACTGGCCGTTGGCGCGGTGCACGAGGCACGTAGTACCCGTACCTACTTTGGGTGTACATCGGCGAGTACCTTGAGACAGACGACAACCGAGACTAAGGGAGAGAAAGAAAGAAATTAGGCCTGGAAATAGAAAGAGAGAGAGAAAGATAGAAGAGAGAGAAAGAAACGAGGGATTAAAAGCTATTTTATTAGCATGGACGTAAACGGAAGTGCTATGCAATAAGAGTGAGTTTCCGATTGATTTTACATTATTTTGTGTTATTTCTCGCGCAGAGTACTTGCATCGTAGTTGCTTGGCGCTGTAGATATATGTATAGATCGTTTACACCCAAGTGAAACTTTTTCCGGAGTCCGAGAAGCCCACCTGAGAGGCAAATCGAACCGCCACTCACGAGTGATTTGTCCAAGGGTCGGGTGTGCGCAAATAAGAGAGAGAAAACTGGCCCCGGAGAGAGGAACGAACTGATAAGCACTTGGCGATGAGAGCTGATCCGAATTGCACGTGTTCCTCGTGGCACGGGCATTTTTCCGAATCGCGAGCGATCCGCAGCAGCAGTTCCTCTCGTGGGTAACGAGCAGCAGCCGCTCTGGCTCGTGTCATGTCTTATTCATGTTCCTCGAGTCTGCGGGCGGTAGCAGCAGTAGCTCTCTCGTTATACAGCGAATGCTACAAGTTCCATGGCAGGCGTATGACCAACGAAACTTCGTAAGATAGTCCGCATAATGCACAGTATACGATACGCAGAAGCTTCAAAGTGTCCGAATCGTTTCACATCAGTTTAATTAAAAGTGCTCGAGCGAACAGTATATAACGCATCGAATGTACAAAATAGGCTCGTGCAGTGCATAGAAAGAGCCGCCGCGTTTCGAGGCATTGTGTGCATCTCTCTTGACGAGCGATACGATCACACACACGCGCAAAGGCCATCGGAATCGAAAATATCATATGCATCAGTGGTGTACGGTGTATTCTCTTGTGGTGAACAATGTGATAACGTAACGGGCGCTTTCCAATGCACTCGAGTCGTTCGTATTATTGTTGTCAACGATTATCTTCGTACAGTACGTACTCAAACTTCTCGTATCGAGAACAATCAAAAATTCATTGTTTTAATGGCGTAAAAAAATAGCTCTTGTAATATAATTCTGAGTACGTGGAAAAATTATGCACGTATATCACGCTGTACAATCCATACACGTATTAACACACGCGCATTGGAACAATCGATAAGTACGGACTTCTGTCACGTACGTCGAGTTCTCGAGCTTTGCGTTTCCATCGTATACATGAAGACTCGATCAACGGCTCGTTTTGACGAACCGATAAAAACAAATGGGAATAAAATTAGAAAAAAAAAGTTGGCTTATCTCTATGCCAACCACCACCGAGACCGAGCACTGCTAACGCGCTCGTCGGTTTTTTCTTTGCCATTTGCTTTGCATCACAAGTTGCACCGCAGCTACTGATGCCTTCTTGCTTTTCTATATTTACGTACGCGTGTGCATACGGATTGGCCACCTACAACAGTATAAATAATAATAAATGTACGCGCGCAACGCGATGAGCAAAAGAAAAACAGACGTGTGCACAGTCATACGGACGGTGCGAGTGACGCAGAGGCGTACATGGGCAGACTGCTGCTGCTGCAGCTGCACGTATATAGGTGCTAAAATACACTCGTGCTAACTGCGAGACGCCGGCCATACTTATTATATGTTACTGTCATGCTCTCGTTCAAGAGCTCTCCGTACCCATACACACACCCACGCACAAAGCGGGATAAAGAGCTAACCCACATTTAACGAGTCCTAGAAGTATTTTGCAGTTCGCGACAATCGTTTTAATTGTCAAAATGCAAGCGTACGCCTACGCTAAATCACGACGAATTGGTTCATAATTCGGTTGGCTCTCGAGGTGCTTTGGAACTTGTTCGTTTTTGAGTTGTATTTGCTTTCGATAGTGTATATATCCATTCGTCCATTTTATACTTTAAAAGGCTATAGTTAGCGTATTTACGTTCGATTGCATTTCTGTAATGCTTTTTTTTTTTTTTAATTTTAGCTCTGGATGTAATCCACCGTGAAAAGTGACACGAGGCAAGAAATAATGATTAATAGAGAGCCGCAACCCAAAGTCCACACTTCACTCATTCATTGGTAGGAAGGGCGTATTTTCTTACAATTGAACAAGGTAACAATTTAATTTCTTAGTTTATCATTGCTATGAGTAATATTTATCAATCTAGACTCTCATTATATACTATTTTTCGTAAAGTTTGAGAAAAACGAGTGGTCTTGATTCGCCTGAGCTGTATATATGCAAGTACACTAGTGTGTATCAGTACTTCTTTCATCTAAACCAAAAAAAATTTGAATTTTGGAATATTTGATTCAAGTAGAAATTCCAAATAGCAAATTATTTGATTTTTATTCATGTTGATGGCTTTTGGTGGCAAAATTGTATCAACTAAACGTATTCCACTTTACGATGCATTAATCTGGTTGGTGTACGTAGCACCGGAAATTATAGTCAGAGAAGTTTAGAATGATACACATTCGCTTTCACGATCTTCTATCCATTGACAAGTTAACCGACTTTCATACATATACAATTTATTATTTTCAAAGACAGATTCTTGTTTCATTTGAATATTTAAATGAATTGTCTCGTCGAGAAAGTTTCGATACTCTTTTGATTCTTCAGTCAATTTTAAGCACTGTAGAGTGCAAACGCTCGTGACAATCTATCTCTCCCGACCCTTCAATATTAGCTAAAATTCATCATTCAGTATCGTAAAACTTGGTTTTTGAAGACATCGAAAAAACTATTCGTGGAACTGAAAGAAACTCATCGAAACACATCGGAATTAATTATGAAATAGAATCTTAACTGGTGATTTTGAGATTTCGGTCTGTCGAGAAAAGCTTAGGAAAGGCTGATATCATTATGCTAAGTTATACTTTGTGAACTGGAATATGGAATGGAACGTTCATCCTCAACGCATCCATTCGGATCAGTGTGAGCCCAATCGTGGAAGAAAACATTATGGCGCTATACACTGTGAAATACTCGTAGCGATTGTGTATATAGTTTATTTATAAATATGGATACAAACAGTCTCAAGTGCCATCTGGTTTCTTTCACGATCGGGCTCACTCATTCGGACATAAGCGCCTACAGGGGGCAGCAGCGTATCCAATATGGCCGACTTTATTAAACAAATAAGTTCTAAAGTATACGTGTAATTTTAGTATTTCTCAAATTATTTAAAAAATTGTAGCAAAAGTTCAAAAGTCGATAGTAATTTTGTTTGTTTCTGGTTGCTAATGTAAGCACCAAAAAATAATTGTTTATAGACATGCATCATTTCTGATGAATGAAAGTACAGAAAAAAGCGTGCACGCTTATAAAAAACTACTATAGTAGTAGTAGTAAGGTAAAGCAAGATTGTACGTTTTTGAATCTTGACCGAAATTATAGAACTGATATAGATTCGTCACAGATGAAAGTTCCATTCTATATTTCTCTTGAACAAAATATATCGTCGCTTAGTGATTCGTGCACAGCTCTTAATAGCCACCTGGTGGATGTCGGATGACATATTTCGAGGTCAGTGGTGTGATGTGACGTGTATTCCAAGTCAAAAAAAGACGCGCGCGCATTATGACTTTCATCTGTTCATTGCTGTTAGTTTCCATACCCCGAGAAATTTATCGAGCTCATTGACGTGGCGGTATTCGTATAAGTGACACACGTTGTATTTTTTGTGGACAAAGAAGACATACATTTATCTAACATCTAGCCGAAAAAGCATATTAACAATCCCTTGACAATATACAGCAGTTCTATGTGGAGTGAATATTTTTTATAATAACTTCAACCCATTAATCTACTGATTAAGCAATGTTATATGTAACGTCCACATAATTGTGATTTGGTGAGTAGTGCAGTTGATTCTGTTAGTTCAGTTTTTTTTTTTAATCAATTAGATCAGTGAAGTGAAAAACTATCATGTCTATACTTGCGGAATATTGAAGAATTCCAGTTCATACGAACCTGAGAAAATGTAACCTAGTTTTCTTCACCGACTTCCGTTAATCGACTGCGCATTCACGTATGGAGTATTAGATCCTTTAACTGAAACTCTAATGTGTATACTTTTAATAAAATAATATTCAGAACTACCCACTGAAGAAAGTAAAATAGTGTTTCAATTTATAATCCTGCGTGTCTCAAGTTCACATTTATTGCCTGATTTTTGCGGCATAGTTGCACTTGACGACAGTGCGTCGTTTCCATCACTTTCCACCGCGTCAGAAAGTATGACTCATATTCCAGAAAAGAGGTCGTAAATGTGAATTCAGCGAGCTGTAATCAGATCTTAAACCATCCTGTGCCATTAAATGTTACTTATAGCCCTTGTATCGTAAAGTACCATTAAATGCTAGTGTATGTATGGAAACTTTCATTTGTATATTGATCAACTCAGGATCTACGTGGAATTACTGTTTTGCATGTAATGTTTTCGAAAAAATGTAGAAGTTCTTACTAATAACCTGAGTTTAAATTAAGCAATTTATTATAATTATTCATTTTAAAATTGCCTACTCGATTTTTAATCCAAGTAACTGAAAATCGGCATGGACATTTATTATGAGCAACAGGAAGTATACTGAGATAAAAATGAAAACTTGACAGTACGTTTTTAAAGATACTTTACTGCATATTTATTTTTCATGATAAAAAACGCGGATGTCTGCATATCGCTAAAACTTACTTTTGTTTTAGTAATCCACGTAGCCATTCTGTAGAAAGAATATTCAGATCGATTCGTTATATATGCTTGTGCGATGATCTTCGATACTCAGACCTAACGAAAAATTGAGCATTTTACGCTTAATTTATTCAGATCCTAGTACACTATTTTACTGAGAATAATCAGTTATTCTGTAGTTGTCTTCAACTGAAGCTTATAATGAATAACAGAAGTATTATATGTATTTAGCTAAATGGCGATATTAAATTTAGCAATAAATTGTTGTTATGAACTTATTAACAAAATTTATCGAAATTGTGGTATTCAATATTGTAATACACAACTTGGCAAAGGTTCGAAAAACTGGAAAGCTTCAGAGCAGGTGTAATTATTACATGCTTTGAAGATTTCTCGTTTTCTTGCATAAGTGTGTATGCTATTTTTCATGAATCCCTCAGCAGAAATTAATTTATTCGTTATGGCCGCCAGACCGAAAAACTTAGTTTTGACTGGAGTGGGATGGAAATGATATTTTACCCACTTTATAAGATACGCTACTTCATCGCATGTTTAGACTTTCGTGGAAAAGTATAATTGTAACTCGTGCTAATATGGATTTTCAATAGAAAAATACCTGCTTTGATTAAAAAATATTAATCGGCAAGTCTTCATTAGTCTCAGATGATACTTTATCGTGCTTTGGGACTTACATATTTTTAGCTACCTAGAACAGTAATTATTTTCTGGGCTTATTTATGCAAATTGTCTTATCCTATTAACGTAGGACTAAGCCGCGTTTTTGCCTCTCGAGTTTATTAAAGCGGGGTTTGCGCTGGGGCAACGATATGAAACGAAAAGTTGTTTCATATTTTCATTCAATGGTATTTTTTTTCAGAATTAACAAAAAAACCAAAAAATGGACGCATACTTGGAAAAAATTAAAAATATGCAACCGCATATCGATTTCTTAAGTGATAAAATAATTGCACTTAAGAAAATAAAAAATAGTAAGAGTGGTGCCCCAGATACAGAGTTGAATCATCGACTTGCAACGTATCAAAAGATGTTTCAGGTTCTCACTACACAGGGTAGAGCTGATAATAAACAAAAGTAATTAAATCAATTATTCGTAAGTTCGGTCGGTTTAATATGATGAAATATATCAATGTATTCGTTTTTATACAGAAGAGTATCGATGGAAACTCTGGAAAAATTTCAAGTTGTGATAGAAAAGATACAGGCTAAAGACGCTGAAGCTGAACGTAAAGAACAGAATTCAAAGCCAAATTTAGAGTGAGTTGAACAGACAAATCTGACGATTTTATTGTTATTAAATCGATAGTTTGTTGTAATGAATTAGTATGTTCCATTTTCAGACGAAATCCTTTTTATGATCCGGATAAAAAAAAATTGAAAAATGAGACGCCTGATTCGCCACCTCCGCCATCCAGTCCTCCAGAGTCGGAAGCACCTTCTAAACCGTCGGAACCCATAATTATTCCTACTGAACGAAGTGCTCACTATGGAAGACCTGATACGATACATTCGAGTGCATCACCCCTCAATGATCAAAGACGTAGAGAGTCTCGCAGCCCGCCTGGATATGCTTCGAGATTTTTACCCGTCGCGAGTAGAGACTTGAGACAATCTAGCCCTCAAGCATGGGATAGTGATACCGAAGAAAAAAATCAAGAATCTCAAATAATTGTGCCAGGAGCAAAAAAACCAATAAGCAGTATGGTATCCATAGAAGAATATAGAGATGGTGAGTTTTTGTACATACTTTCAATTATTTTGGATGAATAAAACTATGATCTTTAAATTGAAAGAAAAAAATGACAAATAATAAAATTGATTACTATTACAGATTATTCATCGAAAAGACACGAAAAACTCTCGCCTCCGCCGAGTCACCCATCTGAAAACATTCCAACAGTGCAAGTAAACGGATTGGGGGGTTCACGTAGGTTGAGTTCTGTACTTGAAAAGACCAGAATCTTGAACTCGAACGTTGAATTGACGCGAATTCTGCACAACATGCAATCACCAAAATCAGATTCTGATATGCGTGTACGAACGCTACCAACTTCCCCGTTGAGACCACCATCTGTAGCCGCACCATCGACGCCATCTACGCTTTTTAATGCTCCTCTTCCCAGCTCAGGATTACCGATTTCCTTTGAGGAGTTGAGCGAATATTTGCCTGCTGATTCTGCATCACGAGCTCAGGAATTAGAGAACAGATCCAGTCGAGTGAATTCTTCGTTTCCATCGAGATTGTCAAGTAATTCCGCGACAAATAGTGCAAACAACATTGCAGAGTCGAGTTCCATTCCATCTTCTGCATATGATCACAGAGATCCAAGGTAAAGTTTAACAACATTTTTTTAGAGAGATACCAGAGTCAAGGTTAAAAGCATTAAAATGTTTTTTTATTTTATTTTAAATATCTAGAATGAATTCCGTAAAGAGTGTTATAAATTTTTCATACTAAATTTTACTTTGATAATAGTAAATACTTTTTAATTGAATTCACGATTCTGCCGTTTATTCTTTAACGACATGATCGATTTTTAGAATTTCATCATTTTTCAGGTGAATCTTTTTCGAAACTTGAGAATTTATATATTAATTGTTTTTAACAAAAAAAAATTAATTCTCAAAAATTTACCTGTTGAATGCTCAATGATTAAATACATTTGCTATAAAGCTCTTTTCTGAACATATTTATTTCATTTTTATTGATGGTGGTAATTGATAGTGTCATTTTGAAAATTATTCCTTAAAAATTATAAAGGTAACACCAATTTAACCAATTATTTATTTTAAACAGAATATCTAACGACCCAAGAATACGACCGAATACAGATCCACGTAATATTGGAGCTTCAGTTACCCGTTTTGCAGACAATTATGAAAGGCATAAACGTCCACTTCAACATTTGGAACATCCTTCTCTTCCTTCAAGTCACATTGATTATAGAACTCATCAGTTTAGATCCGAAGTTCAATCGTCCAACAATACGGCACCACAAATTCCTGGTAAAATTATAATTTAAATACTTTGGTAGAGTAAAATTGAAGTTATGATTTGAAAAATTTATCTTTTCCAAGTTTAAAACTTTTCATACATACAAATTTGAGATTTTATTAAAATTTTTATGTATTATTTAAATTATTAGTTAAAAAATTCACTCTATTTCCAAGAAATATTTTCATTTGATATTTTTGCTCCAGCACTGGGTGGATACTCTATGAATCAGCATAATCAAATGTCTGGAGGATATGATTATCGACAAGTACAAACTCCCATAACATCAAATGCACAATCAACTTCACAAACACCACAATCACATTGGGGTAATATGCCACATCACAATTCTATACCATCATCACAGCAAACACAATGGGGTAGTATGTCACATATGCAACCTGGAATGCACATGTCTCAAATGTCAAACTATCCATCTGTGAATGCAAGTCAACCGTCTAAGGGACCAGGTCAACTAAATAGCTGGCAAAATCCGTCAATGTATTCAGAGAGGTCTACAATGATCAATGGTGATTCTCGAATGCCTCCTAGTGGATATAGCAATCAGATGCAGACTCAAATGGTTTGATTCCAAGAATTATTATTATATTTCAAGTAGTATATTTATATAATAAAATTTCATTTGTAATATTTTACTTTTAGGTATCGACTCACCAGAATCAAAGGCCAATGATGAATCAACAATCTAGCAATAATTACACAGTAACTAACAACTATGCAAATTATTCAGATTCGCGATCGGTTTATGAGACTCCTACTCAATTGAATTCTGGAAGACAATCTTGGAATCCTACTAATGGTCCGCGATTTTCGACTCATAGACCTAACTTGACAAATGTATCTAGTAGTCATTATGCTACTAGTCGACCAGTTAGGGAGAAAGATATGCAAACATCACGAAATCAAGATGTATTACAAGTCTGTAGGTCCAGAGATCCAAGAGATCCTCGAAGCAGAGGAGAACCACGACCTCCAACTCCACCGATTAGGAAATCAAATGAATCGACAGCCGATAAAGAAAAAGAAAAAATAGTCGATAAAGAGAAGGAAAAAGATAAAGATAAACATAGAGAAAAAGAAAAAGATAAACAGAGAGATAAAGAAAAAGATAAGCAGAGAGAGAAAGAAAAAGAAGTTCAACCAAATAAACATGCCAAAGAGAATCCTGAACCTAGTCGTATGTATACAGTTAATAATCATCTAATGTATTTAAAATTTTTATCAAAATTAAATTTAAATTATTATTAATTTTTTAGCTTCAGTCAAAAAATATAAAGATCATTCTAAGAATGATCTTTATAAATCTAAAGATCGTGATGTTCATAAATCAAAAAGTCGAGATGGTGTAAAATCAAAAGATAAGGATCACGAAACAAATAAAAGAAGAGAAATAGTAAAATCAAAATCTAAAGAATCTAAATCTGTAGCAGAGTTCTATGGAGCTATTGATACACAAAAACCAGGACTACAGAAATTTAAAATTCCTAAAAAGAAACCTTTGATAGATTCTCCCTCTGAGTCAGCCAAAGAGCAAGAGGTAATTTTTAAATTATTGACGTTTAGTAAAAAAATGAATAAAGATTAATTATTAATAATTTAATTTCATTGAAATTTTGTTAATGTTCTAGGTAATACAAAACACTGATGTTGAGGGTAAGAGACCATCACCTCCAGTAGAAAACGATATACAGTCAAATACACCAGATTCAACTAATGAAGAAGATGATGCAAATACTGTATCGAAAGGAAATAAAAATGATGTCTGTGAAAAAGATAAAGAACAGATAAGTGGAAAAAACAAAGATAAGAAAAAACCAAAAGATATTAAAAAATTTTTGCAAAATATCCCTGAAAATTTGTCAAAAGACGAACTTGCTGTTTTACTTCAAAATTTTTTACAATCTAGTAAAAAAAGTAAAAAACAAAATGTCATATATTCGTCAGAGGAAGAAAGCGACGATAGTGATAACAATAAGGTCTCTACAACGCTTTCTAACAAGAAAAAAAAGGTTTTAGCCTCTTCTTCTGATGAAGAATCTGAAGTAGCTTCAAAAAAGTCTTCTATATCCAATAAAAAACCATCCAAAAATGAGTCTAAAGATTCTAAAGAAAAAAAGCGTAAAAAGAAAAAGGATAAGAAAAAAGAGAAACAAAATGATGTTCCAGTTTCAACAGAAACGACCGAATCGAACGTTATTGGTACAGAATTAACTGAGACAAGTGAAACAACAGTTAATGAGGAAACATCGATTGAAACGCATGTAAATGTGCCTGCTACGAAAGAAGTAGAGGACTCATTGAAAGATAAAGTTACACCACCCAAAGCTAAACCTAAACGTCGCCGTGAATTAGATGCTTTACAAGAAGATCTTAAAACAAGTTGGATTTGCGATGGGGCTATGAAAGCTATTGGAAGTCGAATATGCAGTAGCCGTCAACAACAAAATATTTCGGAGCAGCAGCAAGTTGAAGAAGAAAGTACACCTGGTAAATTTCACAATGAATATTTCAATTTTTATATGAATCAAATTCTCTAATTAAAATCTTAATAATTCATTTTTTCAGCACCTAGAACAAGAAGAACTCCAGGGCCAAAACCAAAGTCAGCAACAAAGGCTAAAAAATCACCAACTGCTGCATTCGAATCTCAAACTCGTATTACTGATGGCGAAACTGACGATGTTTCAGCAGCTTCAGCAACTTCGGATATCTCAACAAAAACAACTCGAAAATCGAAAGCTAGAAAGAACATTCCACTTGCACCATTATTTGATGAATCCTCCATCGATGATTTCAATCTAGATGATGTGTCATATGAAGAACCATCGGATAGCTCATTGACTAGCGAAATTTCGGATAAATCAAAGAGAGGCGGCAAGAGAAAATCGGGGCAAGCCTCAGGTGAGTTAATGTGTCTTTACTGTATAAGAGAGAGCAATGAAATGAATATCGTATCCTGTGTATTTATTAATTTTATACCTCGCCAGTTGTTATCAGGGCTCGTTAGAATAGTGTTGTCCTTAAAACGGTAAAATTTAATATGAATGATGGTTGACTGATTTAATCTATGTGCAGTAGTTTAGTAAATAACGGTCGATATGAGAGTTCATTGAACTTTTACGAATAACATAAACATGAACAATATGTCTCACAAAGTTTTTCAAAATTGAGATTTTTTCGAAATAATTTGGGTTCGATAATATCAACACGTATATACAAATAAATTTAGTTGGAGATCTTTTTCACCGGAACGAAACCCTCATTTTACCCCACGGCTCTTCGTCTCCACCTTCGTCGTCATCAACATCAATACTTCAGCAACATAGTGACAATGAAGAACTGATCGGAGATATTACGGCCAATTTGACATCTAAACCGGTAGTCGCGAAAAAGAAAACTAAGAAAAAGAGGAATCACTGGCAACTGGGTACGCTTGTTCATTTTAATTTGCCCCCTCACGGAGAGAGCATAGAGAGATTTCATTTAACATAATTGTTCAGATTTTTAATTCCTTATTCAATCATCTCTCTCTTTCTCTGCAATCTACTAATGCAAATACACATATTCAAAATTCGTTGAATTATGGTAAAGTTGGTTTAGTCTTAATCGAGTTATATGATCACTAAAAATAATAATAATCTATTGAAATAGTTTTAATAAATAAATTAGGTCAAACTATTAATTAAAAAAACCGTTAATAACGAGACAATTTTAAATTCATTATAAGAACATTGTAATTCTTGATTTAAGTAAACCATTATTTAGTTTAATTACTAATTTGGAAAATATTTTTATTACTATGTTAATATTCAACATTTGTTATAAATAGGAATTGTGCCGAAAAAGAAGAAAAAGAATCCTGCTAGTAGAATAGATACCATATCTGCATCAACTTCAACTACCGTATCTTCGGGAAGTATAGAAAAAGATAGTGAATCAAACTCTTCTAGAAATACCATTTACTCTGAAGAAAATATGACTCAAGAAGATTATAATGCTATAATTACAGAATCTCAAAAAAATAATGAAGATGTGACTTCTCGGGTTGATGTTGATGCCCTTATAGTCTATACTATAGCGGGATTGCAAGACAAATATCAATGCCTACTTTGTCCTTTTTATCGCAAAAATATCGTTAATCATTATAAGACGCAGCATCCGCGTAAAGAAGTGCTTATATCGCGTCTAGCAGTACCTGAAGCAAATTTGGCTATTGAAGAGTCACAGTCACTCAATTTAGATAATTTTACGGACGATTCGAATCAAAATGAGATTCTTTCAAGTCAGTTTAATTGTCGTTTTTGTGATTTTGTGACCAAAGGCTTAAGCCAATGTGCTCGCGAATCTTTTTACGATCATTGTGTTAATCATACTGGAGAATACAGATATTCATGTCGACCATGTGGTTACGAAGCTCAATCAAAAAACTCTGTACGTACTCACTTTTACAATATATGTCGTAAAAATAGTAATATTACCATAAATGAGGCTTTAATCGAACATCCTGTACCACCTGGAAACAGAGTTTATGGATACATTTGTACAAAGTGTAATTTTGTACAGTTGAATAAAATTAACGTTGAAAAACATATGAAATTATGGCATTGTAAAGGGTCAAAAGAAGATGCTAAAATTATGAAAATTGATATGAGTTTGAGGGTTAAAGGGGAAGAATTACACGATTCTGTTATATCTGTGCCCCTAGACGTGACCACTAAATCAGAATTAAAAGATGAGAAATTTATGTCAGTTGAAGAAATGCAACTGAAACAAGAATTTACAGCTGATTCTGTGGATGTTTCACCTGACGCCACTGACAATAAACCAACATCGGAACCTGAGATAAGTACTGTGATTGAAATTAACGAACCAAAGTCAGAACAAATGGACAAAAAAAAGGATCTCAGCGCCTTTGTTTCTGCAACAGAACTTGGTGACACAGACATTTTGATAAAAAACGAACGTATAAAAAAAATGAAAGAAATTGTCCAAAATATTGGTATCAAAGTTAGCAAAAGTCAAATTCAACAGCGAGGTTCTATTATCGATCAGCTTCAAGATAAATTGCAGACTTCAATGGATACATTAAATTCATCTAAAGAGGATGAAGTTACAGATCCAATTGAAGATCCTTTATTAATAACTGAGCCAAAAGTTGAGAATACAAACATGCAAGAATTCGTCGAAAATCAATCTTCGAAATCGGAAGAAGCAGATATGACGGTTGAAGCTGAAGTAGTAAGGGTTAAAGAAAATCAAGACGAAGAGGAAGAAGAAGAGAAATCGGATAAATTTGTACCCGAATTTCGAGATCCATTAGCTCTTCTCGATGAACCATCTCCAGAGTATGTATTTCAGAGTTATGCAATCACTATGTAATTGTATTATTTAATTTTACTTACATTTATATTTATTGCTTTTAAAGGGCAGATAACGATGTTCCAAACAATGCGCCGTTTGTATCATCCCCTGTAAGCGATTGTACAGACTCGGGCCCAGTGGATGAAACTGCTGATGTAGATGTTTCCAGAATACTGAAAGAAACACAACAGGTTTCACCATCAAAATCTGGTATGATGACAACTATCCAAAGGTTAGCTGCACAATTGCAAAATTCCAAGTCTGCGACCTCAGTGCCGATAATATCATCTGAAGAAAATATGTATACCATGGAAAACTTCAGTGAACTTTCGAAAGACGGAAAAGATGAAACAGAGGTGGGTTTTCTTTTTAACTGGTCAATTATTTGAAATTTTCATTACACATATTTATTTTATCATGGGCACTTTTTTTTATATTTTAGGAAGAAGACGAAGAAGAAGAGGAGGAGGAAGAAGAAGAAGAAGAAGAAGAAGAAGAAGATGAAAATGAAGATAAAAAGATGGATGATAACGTAAAAGAGGAAGAAAATAAAAACAACACCCCACTAAAATCACAACAATCTTCACCTCCCAAGTTCTTGCGAATACGCAGAATAAGCGGCGATTTATTATCCAAAGTTGAAGGAGAAACTTCCCCATACAAAAATGGTAAAAATTTTATTTGATATCGATTCTTTAGCTTATTGAAATAATAACCAATTTTTTTCAATAGAAAAATCAGTAAACGATTTGAAACCAGAAGAAGATGGAATAGCGGGCTTGAAGATAGCTAGCGTTGTTAGTCTTGCTCCTAATCAAGACGATAATCATCCTGAATTTCGAACTTTCGTTAGTAATAAAGAGACACCTGCTGGGATATCTTTATTGAAAAATTCTTCGAATATTGTTATTCAACGTCTCAATCCAACTGGAGATGTGAAATTTGTACCAGTTACCATGAAATCAGAAAGCGCTATATCATCTCTTTCTTTTTCTGCTGGTCAACAGATTACACTTGTCAATGAAGGTGGGAAAAATATTCCTTTGGCAATGAGACCTGGACAAAATATTTCAACCTTAGTCAATTCAACCAGTCAAAAACCCGTAAAAATAATCAAACTTCAATCGAACTCGGTACCAACGAGAGACGTTTTGGCTGTCAAGTTAAAATCTGCAAATATCTACGAAAAAATGCTTCTAGATGAAAAACTTGTTCATATTTTTAAATGCATGGGACGTAGTTGCTATTTTACTTGCAACAACGAGCAAGCATTTAATAAGCATATTCGAATGCACGAAGAAGATGTCGGTGGTAACAACGTTATTAAAGATTACTTGAAATGTTGTTATTGCTACGTGGATTATCCAAACTACCAAGCTCTACTCGATCATATTTGTGAAAAGCATGCATACTGTAGATATTGTTGCAAGTACTGCTTCTACAGAGCACGTGTTAGTTCACACGTTGAAATTCATGAAAATCTAAATCATCCCGGTAACCCGATAAAAATATTGCTGGCTCCAGAAGATCCAGCATATCCACCACCTACCAGTACAAATAAAATGGATCGAAAGTTGATAGTGAAGGCCTACGTTTGTACACAACCAGGTAACTGCGCATTACTTAAATATTTGTCAATCTTGTTGAAATATTAAAATTTACTCTCAATGTTTCACTTCAGGGTGCAATAAATACTTCTTTATTCCCGAAGCCTTCAAGCTACATTTGAATTTAAACCATACAAATCATAAGCATAATGTATGCTATCACTGTAAAGAAGTTATTGAAGGAATAGAAGCATTATTCGAGGTAACTAATTAACTTATTAATTTTCTGAAAAATCTTTTTTATTTAGAACAATATTGGTAAAATTAAAATGGTTTTGAAATGTGCCAGTGTAGATATGAACTGAACTTACGTCATTTTTAATGTTATTTACAATACAATACATCATTTAAGTGAATAATATACTGATTGTTATTTTTTAGCATTACAAAATACATGGATATTATAAGTACCACTGCATGTATTGTACAATGGGTGGATCGACAGTGAAAGAATTACATTGTCATTTAACTGTCTATCATTATCAAGAGCTTCCGCATATTTTAGAAAGATGCTTCCCTCGCGAGGTTATTTATTTTCGTTACTTAAAAGTTTTAAACTTGATAGTTTTTAGAAATAATTTACATTATTTGTGTTTCTAGATCTCAAAATCTGTCAGTGCCATTGATCAGCTAAAAGAACGAGATGTTGAAATGTGCTATCGCCTGCGCAAAAAAGATTTAGCTCAGTTAAAGCCTAAAAGTCCACTCAAAACTGCAGTTACCCAAAATCCTATTGCTGCTAACATTCTTCCCAGTGCAGCTAATACTTTCTTGCCAATATCGAGCATTGCTTCAAATGTGGGTAACATCGGCAATGTAAGTCTTTCTAACATTAAAATAGTCGATGCAAGAAGTTTGAAAGCAGCAGGTCCAATTGCTGCACCTCCAGGTTTGATGAGCATGTGTCAGAATATTTTACTCAAACCGAATGAGTCAACTCTCAGCAAGGAACTTATTTCTAATGTGCCTATCAAACAAGATAGTCCACCGGAAACGCAACAATCACTTGATTATGATAGTGATATTGAAATAATTGAAGATTTTACGAATAAAGATCCGCTGCAAAGTTCTGAATTGGACTCGAAAAATAATGAAGAAGTTGAAAGTGAATCAGTTGATCAAGAAGAAACAAAAGTAACAGATCTTCCGAATAAAGAACCTATAACTCTGGAAGACATTCGAGATACTGGTTTAGTTGGCAAAGATTTATACATGTGCGGCTATGTAAATTGTAAACAAGCTTTTGATTCTAACGAAGAGTTGAAATTGCATATGGCCTCTTGTCAAACTTCTAGTGAAATGGCTGACATTTTCTGTGAACATTGCGGATCTACTAGTAAACGATTCTTGAAACCTAGTGGATACCTAGAACACCTTAAATTTCATGGATTGAAACGATTCAAGTGTTCGTTATGCAGCAGTAGATTCGCTTGCTCAGCTCAAGCAATTACTCATATGAGAAGTAGACATAAACAAACGAATAATAGAGTAATGCCTGCTGATCCGAAAAATCCTTCGCCGGATGCTTTGTTCATAGTTTATCCGATAAAATCATTAGATAAAACAAAAGCAAAAAAACTTGGAAAAAATCCAACTTCCCAACCGCTCGTTGAAACAGAAAAATGTGTTTTTGCACCTTCTGAAATTGATAAACTTCCACTTCAAGCAATTTACAATCGAACGGTGAAATGCGCTGAATGTGCTTACAGCAACAAAGTACGTTCTAACATGCTTAGACACTTGCAAGCTCATCTATCTGATGTAACTGTCCCAGACTCTAGCCCTGTAAATCCGGTGCCTTGTCTTGACAAAAAGGAACTCATGTTTAATAAAATGATTAATTTAGCTAGTAGTAGCCATGAAAATGGAAGGATGGGTGATGGAGGTTACAAAAACGCCCAAAAGGCCATGAGCGAAGATGAAAATTGGTTGCCGAAATTTGTTCCTGAGCATAAGAGGTACGTTTTAATAAAAAGATAAAAAGTATATTTTTTATTTTGCTTTCCACTTCCTTAAGTACTTAAAATGGACTTTAAGTAAAGTCATAAGTTTGTATTCAATATATATCTAAACTGAATAAATTTCGTGAATAAATTAAAATTAAAATATTAATTAAACATGAATTACATAGATATGTCTGCGGTGTGGTGGGCTGCAATTATTTATCGGTTGAAGAGGGAATGCTTCGTCACCATTTAAAAGCATTGCACTCAGAGGAACCATATTTCCGTTGCATGCACTGCCCACTTCCCCAGGAACCGAGTCAAAATATTCCTTTCGAAAAGATGTCGATTCACTTGAAAATGCACGATTCCCGTCTGTACAAGTGCTCTCACTGCAATTATCATCACTATCAAAGGTTCGTTCGCACTGATTTCATTTCTAAGTTGTATAACGAACGCTGATTAATAAAAAATTGACTTGATTAATTTTTTAATGGACCAATCATATGTTGACCTGCAGGCACGTGGTTGAGCGGCACTTGACCGATAAACATTCGGATAAACTCGGATTCATCAAAGTTATTCGTGACTTCAATGTTGATGCTGATGCTCGTAATTTAGATTCTTCCCAACAATCGATAACGCAAGATGCGGATGGTACAACTGCTGATGGAAACTCCTGGAAATGTAACATTTGCGATTTTAGAACTATGTATAAAGCAGCAGTGCAGCAGCATGTAATGAACGACCACGAAGAGAAGGGTCAATTTAAATGCAAGTGCGGTCAAAGTTTCCTTAATAAAGTTACATTCGACCAGCATAAACTCGCTTTTCACATGTATGATGCTCATTTTGAAGTTGTCCAAGTTTTCCAAAAAATTAAAGGTAAAATGTTATTTTGCACAAATCAGATTTCAATAACTCACTTTACTAAGAACGAAAATGATTAAACACTTTCTATTATTGTAGGACATACAAAAAAATCTGAAAATGCGGATACTAGTATGAATAACACCACTGCCGAACCATTTGATACAACACCTTTATGGCAACGAAATGCTCCTCGAATACGCCATATTCGTGGAATTTTATTCGAAGAAGATGAAGAAGAACCAAAATCAACCTCAAAACGGAAGATCGAATCCGTAGAGTCACCAACTAAAACACCTAAAAGTAGCAAATTGAAGTGTGAGTCGCCGGATAAACGCTCGAAAGTCACCATACAAGAGCTACCGGAGGGCGGTTTTGGGCCATACGGCGAACCAGATGGATCGTTTTATGTTTGTCCCCTTTGTGACCGTTTCACTGCAAGAAATAAATCGGACTTTCGTGAGCATTTATTCCGAGAACTCAGATATTACAAATTTGGATGCAACCTGTGCGATTACTCGGCTGTTAGTCGTACTAACGTTAATAAACATAAAAATAATAAACATCCAGGCCAAGAAATAGAGATTCTTACGTTAGTAGTACACGATAATATTGAATCATGGGTAAGCTCTCCACTATAATAAAATACAATTGCTTTGAATTACTTATTAATTTTCATTACTTTAACAGGTTAAACAATTATGTGATTATCAGACGGAAAAAATGAGAGCTAACAAAAATGCATCTCTATGTGCATCAGCAACTGATGTTAGTGCTACTGATATTGAGTGTTCTACCGAAGTAGACGATGTAGAAAGTGAAGAAGATGAATCTATTGCGGATACCAAAGAGGATGATGAAACTATTGATGGAATTAATGAACTTTCTGAGGATGAAAAAGGTAGATTAAATATTATTCTTACATTACCTTTTTTATTTTATTTGAATTATTCTTAACATTAATATTTTATTTATAGATAATGGAGAAAGTCTAGCGACGGCTATTAATTGTAAACACTGCAATCAATCTTTTACCAAATGGCGAGGTTTCAAACGACACGTGCAAGTAAAACATTTGCGATGCTTGCGTTATCTTTGCCCTTATTGTGAGAGAAGCTCCAATTCTGATTACGCTATTTTGAAACATGTTCGCTCTACCCACTCAGACATGCCAGAAAAAGTGGAAGAAAATACAAATGCTCGTCTTCAACCATTGAACGATGAATTTTGGGAAACAGAGTACGGACTTTTCGTACCCAAAGGTCGCAGCAAAAAACGTAAACGTAAAGAAATGGAAAAAAATCTTGACGAAGCATATCTTTGTCCAGATTGTAATTATACAGCTGTCAGCTTAACAGATTTAAGCAATCATTCAAAAGTTCATGAAACTAAAACGAAACAAATGTGTACATTATGTTCTTATCACACTCTTTATGAATCTGAGATGAGGCAACACTGGGAGATTAATCACCCAAATCGTCCGATACAGGTTTGATTTTAATTATACAAAAATGAAATTGTGCTAGAATAATTCTAAAAAAACTATCACTTTTAAATAGGTTGAAGAAGCTATAATATCAGATCGAGTTCAAACATCTGGACGTAAAAAGGCAAAAGTTGTAGATGAAGAACGTAAAGCAAGAATAATAATATATTACTGTGACTATTGTGACGTTAGTTCTGAGAACTTGGAAAAATTGCGCAAGCATTGGAAATTGTGTCACAAAAATTCGGCTGATACGTCTATCTTTAGATATAAAGAAAAATCGGAGTTAAAAGTTAAATGTGCTTACTGCGCTACTTCTGACTCTAGAGGAGCCCTTATTACACACATTTTAGAAGTACATGGTCAAAACAAACCGATTTTGCTAGTTGAAAGAGACGATGAAGGATGGATGTGTAAATGGTAAGAATTATTATTAAATATTTTATGTTTAAAATTTATTTAGTTTTTAGCTCTCTAATAACAATTATTATCATTTGCAGGTGCCCTGATAATGAATTTTTGGCTGACAAAGACGAACTTGATAAACATCATGCTGAGTATCATTCCCATCTAGATTTAGATTATAAAATTGTTCGTCGTCATTTTAAATGTAAATATTGCTATTTCTACGCATCCAATTTGGCAGCCATGACTAAACATGCTGATAAACACAGGAGTATCTCGAAATGTAAATATTGCCATACAATCTTTCAAGACTTTGATGCGATAAAAAATCATTTCAAGCTACTTCATCCGACATCTGATCCTGAAACTCGTGACTTGACTGATTACGAAAAATCGTCAGAAATCAAAAACATTTGTCACGAAAGTGCTATCCATGAGGAAATTGAACTAAAACCTCATACAATAGCTCCAGCATCACCGACCATGATGAGTCCAAGACTAGCAAAAAAATCAACTAGCAAACAGTCTGCATCTCTGTTTATGAATACAATTAAAGCAACGGCGAGAAAATCAACTAATCCTTCCACCCATAATTTCCCACACGCCGATCAAAGAGAATGTCAAGAACCTTGTGTAGGTTGGTCTTTTTACGGTACACCCCCTTCTCCTATTGATTTAACTAATATTCGTACAACTATGGCTGTTGCTGGAATGAAAATGAGTATTGATTGTTCACAATTCGCTAAAGCCTTTCAAATCAATATAAATCCAACATTGATCTTAAGAGATATATTAAATTAAACAATTTTGCGTTTGCAGAAGTTGTGAAATTCTTGATCTAAGTTTGTTTCCTAATTCTTTTTTGTATTGGCCTTGGAGTATGTTGTACAATCGTGCAAAAGGTATTTATGTATTTATGTGCGTCTGCGAGTGCCTTTATTAAGCGCGAATTTTGAGTGAGTTAAAAATTTTGATAGATCATAATGAATCCAAGTATTATGTTACAAATAATTTGTATATTCATACCTTTTTTTCTTTATTATGCGCCGGCAATTACACGTGATTTCACGTATTTTAATTAATATAGATAAATAACTTATACAAAGGCTGTATTAAAATATAATGACAGTCAAGTGATATACGGATGTATAATAGGAGATTGTGCGAACGATGAAGAAACTACAATTTTAAAGAGTTAATTTTAGTTTAGTGAATCATTTACTATCTAGATTGAAACAATGTTTTTTTTTCCTGTTTTGTGTATAAACAAAATACTGCTTAGCGTATTACTTATTGTTTCCAATATCTAGATTTTGTACATAAATTCAAATTAAGCAAGTCTCTAGGCTCTGTTATAATGCTAACAATGTAAAATGTTTTATCGAGAAAACAATTACATTGCAAAATCCGAGTTACTGTTCAAAGTAATACTAGTTGTTTTTTTAATTTTACTACCACATGTGACACTACAATCGAATAAAAGAAAATGTTAATGCTTAGTAACGCGTTGAAGGTTAATAAATTAACCAAAATTCGATTATCATGAGCCACTAAAGACTGAAGTTTGATTATACCAATTAAGAAGACAATGTAATATTTATTCAGTGTAAATATATATTATGTAAAAAATTGAATAAATATTTTTGATTTTTCTATATATTTGTTTTTCAATTGTCTAGTTTTTTTGAAATTTTTAATTTGTCCAGAAAAAAAAGTAATAATTATTTGCAGTAGTTCGAACCTTATCTGATGGATTGCAGCACGCTTCGCACATTCGAACACTCATAAATTTTTTACTATTATTTTCTTTTTCGTTGAAACTGCACTAAAATTATTAAAAAATATTCACTACTACGAAAAAAATTAATCAACAAGTAGTTGAAATGATTCGCATAGAAAAATATGTCGCGCATCGCAATTTTGTTTTCGCAATATGTGCTCTTTTACACTTTGAATTCGTAATCGAAGTGCAAGCCGCCCAGGTGAACTTTTTTAATTCATTCTTTTAGTGAATGCTATTTTTTTTGTTTTTGAATTTTAACCAAACATACTTGCCTGTAAAATGCAGGTACTGTGCAACGACAACGGATTCGTGGACTCGTTGTTGGAAAAAATAGCTCTAGCATTGTCGGACAAAGAGCCTGGTGTGCTACCACTTCAGAATGTAACCGGACCACTGGATATAGAAGTTCTTGGAGGGGACTTTGAGTTGATCAATGGAAAATTTAGGTATATCAAAGAATACTGATATGAAACAATGTAAAATCAGAAACTATTATTTCCGTTTTGTTAAATAGTGATCTGAATAATTTACGTCGTGTGAAAAATGTGAAATGTGTCTCGGAGCAACCCCTGACAGCATTCTCCCTGACGACGGTAAAATTTAGTCTGGAATTCACGGTAGCGATTCCTCACGCCAAAATAAACTACGAAAAAATCAGGGTAAGACACAGCCGCGTAACGAGATACTTTCCTTGATAATGACGCGCCTCTGTACAGGTAACGACTCCCATATTCGAGTTCATTGGAAAGGATATTCAACTCGAAGTGCAGCACTTTGTTTTGCACATGGTCATAGATTCGAATCACAAAGGCATGGGTAGCACATCGCTACGCGAGATGCATTGCCGTTTTTCGCCCAAAACCGTGGTGACGATCAGCTCCTTGCCCGATATCTGTTTAGGGAAGATAATAAAATCTAGATTGGTTGAACGACTGCCAAAAATAATCGAGGATGACTTCAAGGCTGCTTTTGCCAAATTGGAGAATCCATGAGCATCGAATCACTTTTGTAATGACTAAAATTGTTAAAAAATAAAATTTTAAATGAGTGAAATACTCACTATATAGTTTAATAACATAACACAGTTCTAAATTAAACAGATATTGATTGCTTTGCAAACGATTATGAAACTATCATCAACTTAAAATAATTTACAACTAGAATTTAATGTCCGATTAATATGACTTTCTGTATTTAATACATTTAAATCAGCAAGCAATTTGATTTAGATCATTCAAACATATAAAACCAATTACATAATATTTCAATGAAAACGCGTGGTTGAACTAGACGCTTGTAATTGCTTGATAACGACCGGGGAGTTGTCACACGTGTAATTCGGTGGAAAAATCTATGATTACATCGTAATTTAATCAGAAAAAAAGAGTATATAAAATGAAGCTCCGAGCAGATTTTTTACAAAATAAGAGTAGATTTCAACAAAGATGGCTCGAAACATCATCGCTGCTCTCTGTGCACTTTGCGTCTTTCACTGCGCGATAACTAATGTTACGGCAGAGAATGTCTCCTACCTTCAGGTACAGCATATCGACAAGCAATTGTAGCAGTACAATAAATCAAGCAGCTTCATAAAAATTTTTAAAATACATCGATTTGCTAAATTTTTTATTTTTCTTTAAGTCTATGAAGAATCAGATCTTCGATGGCATTCTGGACGGACTCTCAAAAACATTAATGGGAAAAGAGCTGGGAGTAATGCCCCTTGACGATGCAAATGGTCGTTTGTCTCTACACTACGTCGTGGGGGACAAAAATGGTCAATTCAATGTAGATCATGGAACACTGAGGTAAATTATTCACAAATAAATAATGAGTACTGTAAATTTTGATGTAATATTTACTATTTTTGAGTTTTAGTTTGTTTGATAAAATATTAAAAAATTATGTAACGAATTTCAGAAATCTCAATTTAAGGAGAACCAAAGATGTTGTAATTGATGCCGATGGTTTGAAATTCTCCGTCAAATTAAGCATGGGAATCAAAAAGCCTGAAATCCATTATGATCATTTCAGGGTAAATAAATATCATTTTATAAAAATAGTTAGATTTAGCCACATCGACATGCACCATACATTGCAATTTATGGTTATTATTTTTTTCAGGCGCAATCGCAATATTTCCGAGCTCGCATGGACGATTTGACCATCAACATCGACTTCATTAAAATTGATTTTGTTGTTGATATCGATTACAACAGAATGCCTGGTACGGTGCACATTCATGATATCAATGTGAAAATCGCTGATCCTGAAATTTCGTTGAGGAAAAACCGTTCTGATACCGTACTGTTGAAAGAACATTTCCTCAATTCATTTAGAACTGAAATTAAAGATATCTTGGCCAACCAATTCCGCAAAGCCATCAAGAATCTCGAGAAAGAATAAAAGTTCATGTAGACTTTAGAAATACGTCTGAATAACGTTTGAGTATTGTGTGCACGTGCGAGAGATAGTTTTATGGTTTTGTCACGATTTTTGTTAACAGTAAAGTTGAAAGAAGTATTAAAACATTGAATAAACGAATTGAATTATACAAAATATTTTTACTTATTTAGGTCAAATTTCCAACATCATTTACTTCTTCAAACTTTGATTTTTTTTCCTTTCGACAGTTCACTGGTTGGGTTTAGCAATTTATTTAGCTCTATCGAAATATAGAACAAAGCGTAATAGCTAAAATTTTCAATTAGTCCATCAACAATGGGAGCATTGTAAATTATAATTGAACGAAATGTCAAAATTTAAAGCTTTGTAAAATGGCCTTTGTACGTAGGCTTTCACTCCTGACTAAAATCGACTGCCAACGCGAGCCGCGCATACATGGGATTTTTTCGATTATTTTCAAACTACCTTGTTTCGTTGAGGTCAGTGACAAATGATAAATTTCATTAACTTAATCCATTTCTAAATCTATGTCAATGGGCAGTAGTGCGCGCCCCCACCCTCGTATTTGGCTCTCTCATTTGGCACATCTCGTATCGTGGTAGGTTTGTTTCAAATTCAAATTGGCTTGGTCGATGACTAAAAAAAAAAATCGAAAGAGTTGCAAAAGTTCTCTTCTCAAATAATTTTAGTAAGAATAGTCTTTATCAATTCAGTCATTCTTTGGATGAAAAGCAGATGTATGATACTTGTTGTTGATCAATGGATGTACTTGAAAAATCTCGGATATCGAAGCTAAAATTCTGCGTGAATGATAGTGTCACGAGATAAAGCTGAACAATACGTAACCACGGCGGTTTCAAATGTCAAAATTCGTTACGCAGTAATTTACCGGTGAGAAATAAATTGCGTCAAATATACGTCACAAAAGCAGCTTCATTGAATTTAATGTTATGTATTCGATCCCACATTCAACGTACTACAGGCTTTATCACTGAGGATAATTAAACAGATCGACGTGCACTACTATAAATTGGAAATGTGCTTTGGAATTGTTAATGAAATAAGAAAACCAGAAATTTCCTGAAAATTTTGATTTCTGCGGTGTGCGTTGAAAATTTTTCCGAAAGAAATTTCACGATCATCAGGATCAAATTAAAAATGCGTCAAAAATGAACTTGAGTTTTCTGTCTGCCTGCACTTCACGGATATGTACGCGGCTTCGAGCGTCATTTTGACTTGATTCGAATTAATCACCTTACTTATATTTATTCATTTATAAGAAACACTTGCTGGAGCGGGTCGATACGTGGACTGTAGGATATGAAGGGTTTATAACACATTGAATTATGCAGATAATTGAGTGTGAGTGTTTGGGAGATTATTGGTAGTTATCGTGGTAAAAAACTCTTCTATAAATCTACACTGGACTAGCCTTGGATGGATGCTTATAGAGGGCTATCGATGTTGTTATACATAATACAGAGCTCGACTCTAAACTAGGAATGTACGAGTATCCGATTTTTCGAATTTCACTGGACTCGAGTTCGAATCGGACACTCGAGGATTTTGGGAATTACTTAACATTTTTTCGAGCACGCGCGTTTTTTGTTGAGTATTTGAACTTTTTTAATGGCAACGTGTTTTTAATATTTATATCTTTGATCTGTATTAAACTGTTCACTATTTCACACATTTTTCTTTTGAGTTATATTTTTTAAAAAAAATCTACTAACCATGTGATTACGCTGGGAAAATATCTATTGGTCATATTATTGTGGGCGCTTGATTTTCAGTAAATCACATTTAAAATAAAATTAAGCGAATTAAACTGACGTAGCAAATAGGGTTTTAATTCTTCTGTACCAAACTTGAGAGTTTTCAGGAACTTTAATAAAGGAATTGTTTGCGACTTTGCATTTGAAAACTTTTTTATCGATTTTAAATGGGTTTTGAGAGTAACTCGTATACATTTTATTGTTTTACATCGAGAACGTCGAATATAACAAAAGAGATTGCGAAGATATTTCGACTGTATAGTAATAATAATATCAAGATAAAAATATGTTCACATAATTTTCACATTAAAAAGTAATTAAATCAAATAACTTAAGCTATTTTGTTGTAGAGATCTGATTGTTTCAAAACTATTTTCATCTTGATTAAATTTTGTTAGAAAGCGTGAGTAAGTATATAAGCAAAACTTGAAAAATATTAAGCATGCTGGAAAGTGGCTAGTAATATAATACTGACATAGATTTAAGGAGATCAACGTATAATAAGTTTACAATTAATAAATCATCATTTCTCTGAATAGTTGTGACGGATTTTGGTGTCTAATGTCGAGCTTTGCGTTATCATATTCGAATTCAATTTTCATGTTTCCATTAAGTTCAATTTAATTATTTACGTTATATTCTTGAATTTTTAATGCAATTTTTGTTGAAAATATTGACGATATCAGAAGCCTACAGAGTTTAATTCCTATTGAATAATTTGTAGAACTTCGAAAAATCGAAGAGTTTTAAAATCAGGTGTTTTGTCAATTATTTTACAATTATTTTGAACGCGTGATTGGTGTTTAAGTTCCCCTTTCATTCTAAAATAATTATAATAAAGTTAATAACAATGTGTCATATTAATGTTATGCTTATAAAAATGAAAATTACTTGTTAGAACGGTTCAATGTGCCTTTCTTAGAATCTTGTTAACGTATAATTTCTCTGTAATAATGTTACACTTCAAGCTAAATAACTTGAATTCAATAATATTCACAAATGATGTTAAGAAAATTGATCAGCCAAAGCAATATTAGCAATATAAGTTTTAAATCATTTCGTATTATAGAAGATTCACATTATTCACCTGTACAACGAATAATAATAATAATAATTTTTTTTAAATGATATCTTATCGCAGAACATTTAGAAATGAAAAAAAGGTGATTGCACGGTTCGCAAAGCGCACGGAGAAAGAGCTAGTAACGACATAAGATTCGATAAAGGAGCAATGCGACAATAATTAATATCGTTATTGGTGGCGGTCGAGTCGTTGCTCCCGAGATAAGGTCGAGTGTAGTCGCTGTTAGCGCGCAGAATCCCTAAGCAGCATCCGATGCAATATATCTTTTGCGCGCAGGTATATACCTATATACATTTATAGATAGGGGTTGAGTGTGCCATACTATAGCTGCGTTGGTACATTGGTTCCCTGCGCTCGAGCTCGTTCAGGGGGGTAGCTACAGCTCAACGGATACAGCGGCGCTACCATCGCGAGCCCCTCGCATACATAAACACACACACACACACTCTGTTGAACCATTATGATGATGGAACCGGTGGCAGCGGTGGCGGCGACGTCGGCGGCAACGCGTCGGTGGTGGTGGTATAGCCATTAGAAGCGCAGCATCCCCCTTACGCTCCTGGCCTGGAGCAGAGCGAGCGAGATAAGCGCTCGATTCGCGCGCAGCATCGGCCAGCCAGTAGTATCCGAAGAGATTCGCGCTGCGGAGCGCATCCGTGACGATTTTTGCATCCCCTCTGTGTGCTTCTGCATACGTAACTGTGCTGCTTTCCTTGATTTCTTTCTTTCTTTTTTTTTTTTAATACACAAATGTGCTGTGCGCGCGACTGCGACGACGACCATGACATAATTATCGTATAGGTAAAAGAGGTAAAAACGATCGCAGCCAACGCGTGTGGTGGGTGTCTCGTGCGTCGATCTCGATTGTGGGTGCAGAATATATATTATACCACGGGCCGCAGTGCGGATACGGAGCAGCAGTAGATTTCGCAGCGTGTTTTCTTATAGGATTTCGCCCGTCGACCGTCGAGTGCTGGCCCCTATCTGCCTCGGTTCTCTCGCTAGCTCTGCGATATATATATATAATACACCATCAGGACGCTTCG